TTGACTACAAGAACAACCCATCAAACTAGATACAATATGGAAAAAATTTCCGCCAAAATCATAGCAGAAGAACTAAGGGCAACAATTCCGATATGCGAGGTTTTAAAAAGAACAGATAAACAACAGATGCCATCTTTATAATTCCCCAGTTAGTGGAAGAGTCAATGGAATACAACAACCCTATCTTCAACCTAACAAAAGCGTTTGATAAATAAAATAATGACATAGTGTACTTACTTAAAGAAAAAAAATGTATCTCCTAAAATAATAAGAACCATAGAAGAACTCAATTACAACTGCCCCACTAAAATAAAAGCTGAGGGAAAGGTATCTGAAGAAATAAAGGTAAACACAGGAATACGACAAGGAGACAGCTTAAGTCCGCTTCTATTTAACCTGATTATGGACAAAATGATAAAAAAGTAAAAGGACTAACAGGATACAAAGTAGGAAACACAAATAACACGATTCTATGTTACGCGGACGATGCGGTACTGATATCTAATATCGAAGACAGTCTACAAAGAATGTTACATATACTTAATAAAATCGCAAAAGAATATAATATGGCAATATGAACAGAGAAAACTGAATGTCTAACAGTATCTAAGGAACAAATAAGATGTAAGCTGGAGATAGAAGGGACAATCATAAAGCAAGGAATGTCATCAAGATACTTAGGATTAGATGTAACAAGCCACCGAAATACTTACCAAGAGACGATACTCCAAGTAAGGAAAGCAGGTGCATTAAGGGCTATAGTGTATAAAACATGTATAAGACCAATATTTACGTATGTCTTAGAAACCAGAGCTGATACAATGAAAAACAAAGGCCAAGAACAACTGAAATGACAACATTAAGACGCATAATCGGAAAGACAAGACGAGACCATGTAAGAAACGAAGATATCCGGCAACAATGTAATATTCCAGATATAGTAAGATGGGGATGAGAGAGAAGAAGAAGAAGAATCGGAATCAGCACGTAACGAGAATGGAAGAGCATAGATTAGCGAAGGTCACAAGAAATGGAAAACCCGAGGGGACAAGATCAAGAGAAAGACCATGAAAAAGATGGCAAGATAGCTGGTCATCAGAATCACAAATAACATTAAATATTACCCAGTAAACACAAGTCATTGGACTTAACGTAAGAATAAGAAGAAGAAGAAGCAGATAAGGGAAATATCGCTATAGTTTGGGATTTGCGACATTCAGTCTTTTTTGATACGGGAATAATTATAATAATTATCGAAGGCCAAATTGCCCCTTTGAATTTTAACAATGTCTATGAAATATCGTCGATAAGGGTTATTACTAATAGTGGAAATTGAAGAAAAGAAATAAACGTAGTGATCAAAACTTAATAAGAAGCAAAATATATTGTCTTTATCAAAGCGAAGTTGTTCCTACCTTGGATAAACTGAAAAAGAAGCTAGAAGAAGATGAAACCAATATCAATATGAGCCATGCCCATCTTCTATAGAGTTGTTGGTAAAATAGGATTTACGTACCGCAAAGACATAAGCTCACATAAGTAGTAATGGAATCAACCATATTACGCACTTGGAGATTTAATTACATTCAAGAAATTAAAAGATATAGATTAGACAACATAATTTACCTTGATGAAACATGGTTGGATACATATACCACTTTGTGTTCAAAGGATGGGTTAATTCCACTCAAAATTGTCACACGAAAGCACTTTCATATATAGGAAAATGTATACCATAATACACAAAAGATGGATTTATCCCAAACTTGCTTGGGTTATCATAGGGATACAAGTACCAAACTTTTTGAAGATTCCCAATAACAGTGTGATTGTCCTGGATTACCCCAGCTACCACAGCCGTCTGCTATGCAAATCGTCCTTCTCACCAAAACTGAAATCCAGGAATATTGGTTAGAAACTGATATTTATTTTAAATCCAGTTACAAAAGAGCGCAACTTTTGGAACTCCTAAATTCATATGCAATTATAAACCAGTATGTATGCTACAATTTCGCAAAACAGGCTCGGCATACGGTTTTAAGTCTTCCTCCTAGAGAACATTTGTGGAACCAAATAAAATCAAAGGTTAGAACAGAAATTGTTACTCTTACTTTAAGTCCCAGTTTTATAAATATGATAAAAATTTAATTAATAACATACCCATTGAAAGTTGGATAAATTCAGTACAGAGCATTATAAAAATTGAGGACTCTTGTGATTTAGCTCAATGACGACTCGGATAGTGAAACAGAATTAGTTATATAGTATAGATATTCTTAGCTATGAATTTATTGTATATATTTACTGTCATTGTTTTTTCTTAGTGTGATTTAACAAGCAAATAAACAAAAAAAAATATTACCAAAACCTTTAAGAGTCCTTCTCTAATGTTCTGTCCTTTAATACCTACCGGATCCGTTTAATTGCCGTCTGCAAGTAACTTCGGGAATAAGCCAGCACGATGAATATTGAGACAGACTGTACTGCTTAAACAAATACTTTTTCATCACTGCATATACAGTCGTGGGACATAAATTTTTTCCAGTAGTATACGAGTCAAACTTTACTAAATTGGACAATGTTGAAAAATGTTATTAAAGAAAATCTATACCAAAAACTGAGAAAAAAATATTTTTAAAATGTAGGTACTAACAATACAAATTTTGCTGTAGTTATGTGAGATGTAGTATGCACTGATAAACTAATGGATGCAATAAATGTTTGACAGTAGCTGTCAAAGCGTTATTAGAAAGTGACGTGTTTGCTAGATAAAATTATAAAACCCATAGAGAATAATCACCGATTAAACTGTTCCGAAACTTAGGAACAATGCTAAAAATATTGGAAGTATTAAGAATATGCTTAATATATATATATATATATATATATATATATATATATATATATATATATATATATATATATATATATATATATATATATATATATATATATATATATATATATATATATATTCTCGCGTATTGATTCACGGATGGAAAAATGTGATGACACTATATTCCGGGATATCATCCGTTCGCTCGTTGAACTCCGACTGGAATCCTGCATCCGACTGGAATCCTGCAAATCTTGCATCCGACTGGAATCCTGCAGACGTTTCGCCAAAATCTCACTTGGCATCTTCAATGCTCGCGCTCCGAAAACACTTCGAACACTCAGGATTCCAGTCGGATGCAAGATTTGCAGGATTCCAGTCGGATGCAGGATTCCAGTCGGAGTTCAACGAGCGAACGGATGATATCCCGGAATATAGTGTCATCATATATATATATATATATATATATATATATATATATATATATATATATATATATATATATATATATATATATATATATATATATATATATATATATATATATATATATATATATATATATATATATATATATATATATATATATATATATATATATATATATATATATATATATATATATATATATATATATATATATATATATATATATATATATATATATAAGCGCTGATAATTCGTCGTCTATGACAATATACAGTTTGAAGCATTACTATCTCCTGTAGCCAAACTAAAGTAAGAGGCTATGGTAAGCGTTTCAATATTTTTTCTTATAAGTCTAATAATAAAGTCTCACGTCAACACATTTTTTTGGCCTGTTGTATCACCTGACCCTACCCTCCTTATTTTCTTCCTTTAGGGCCCTTTGAAACAAAAAGTTTCCATTCCAAGATTTTAAGCATTTAGAACTAATGTTTTCACCATCTACCAACAAAAGCAACGCCGATGTTATAGTTAGAGAGGTAGATATAGTTATTGTCTGTGTAAATTATGTCGAAAATATTTATTTTATTTATTTATTTATAGTGTAACCAATTTACAAAAATTTTACACCCATTAAAGGTAAAGAGAGGAAGACAGCAGTATGACTACTAGAAACCAGAACAAAATGTAACAATAACAATAAATAACAATAACAATAAAGTGGCAGCACTCAAACGGAACACATCAGAACGAAATGAGCGGAGGTTATCGACAAAAGGATGAAACAGTTGCACGCTTTCAGCATTCTAGTAAGGGGTGAATAAACTCCATAATTTGCGCGATGGTAAGGTATGCGGAACCTTGAGTTATCCCAGCTTCTGTAATATGCGTTAAATTGTATGCTATGTAAAAGAGCTAGACAATAATACCAACAATTCAGAATCTTAAAGAGAAAAACTAAATCGCTCTGAGATCTTCTGGTTTGAACAGTATCAATATTGAAGGCCTTAGCTATAATACTGTGGTTGATCTGATACCCATTATAGATATTGATATGCATATTAAGACAAAGATCTTAAAAATACTTTCTATTGCGTACAACAAACCCAAGGACTCGCATAGACCTGTTTAGCACTTCCGCAAAATATGTCACAAAATTTAGTTTTAGAATCGAAGCAAACACCTAAATCTTTAATACTAGCGGCGGCCTCGATCTTGACTCTATCAATGCTATATTTTCTGTGAACCATACTCAACGAACGACTAAATCTAATACTACAGCATTTCTTTACATTGTAAGTGAGGCTATTAATCTTAGACCACATGCAAACACTGTCCACGTCCCTCTGACGTAGCAGAGCATCCTCGCTCGATCCAACCCTCCTGAATATCTTCAAATCATCCGCAAACAAAAGACACTGCGATTCCGAAACTACACTAACAATATCATTTATAAACAAGTTAAAAAGGATGGATTCCATATGGGAACCTTGGGAGACTCTTGAACAAATATTAATTTTACCTGAGACATAATTATTAATACTAAAAAACTGAGTACGACCAGATAGAAGACACTGAATCCATTGCACTAGCCCATCCCCCAGGCCCATAGCTCTAAGCTTAGAGACAAGATGCACATGACCCACCCGGTGAAAAGTCTTCGAGAAATCCGTGCAGACACAATCCACCTGACCAAACTCGTCAAAGGCGTTCAATAAAATTGTTGGTAGGTAAGTAAATTTGTTACGGTAGATCGACTCTGTACAAATCCATGCTGTTGATCGGCCAGAATTCCCCTGCAATGCCACGAAAGTCTCTCACAAAATAACCTATCTAGCAATATAGCAAATAGCTAACCTTCCAAAAGTCAGAAAAAATACCTGAAGACAAGGGACATGTTAAAAATATGCTGCAGTGGCCTACTCAAAGTACACACACTTATTCAAGGCTGATGGAATCCGGTCCGGGCCATGCGAAAATCCAGTCCGTAACTTCATAATACTCTGAAACACATCAGTAAGTGAAACATTCATGGGGTTAAAGTCTAAACTATAGTCAAAACGGTGATTAGGAATCACACCCTCACACTTTTCATAAGTAGGAGCGAAGTGCTTTGCAAACAAGCCAACAATATCCTGACCACAGTCGGCAAACTCCTCACCGAAATACTACCGGGATATGCACTTGACCTTCGCAAACTATTTACATGTTTCCAAAAAGATTTTAGGTCATACGTGACATTAAGTTTTGGAGTTCACGACTAATCCATCCAGGGAAATTTGAAGACTTAAATCGCTTAACAGGAAAAAACATCTCAATCGCACCATACAAAACACTATAGAAATAATCGACATCCCGCGGGTCAAGTGCACCCTCCCATGGTATACCAGACAGATAGCAATTTACAATAGCAAAGTTACAATTTCTAAAATCATAATAAAACACATCATCGTTTAAAACAACATTACAATTATTAGGCAACATAATCTCATAAGCCTTATTAGGGATGCAGTTAGCTTGACCTAAATTATGGCAATTACAACAAGCACACGGCAAATGTGCCAAACTGCCACACTCATTACACGCAAACTATTCTCACAAATCAACACATCACAATCTGCGTATCCAGCTAAGAGGTCTGAAGTAGAGAAAGTAAACTCCTCATACACTAGAGTAGGTGATGAGGGAGGAATATAAATCGCACCAAGAATAAATTTTTTCACTCCGAACAAAAGATGCACAAAAATGTGTTCCAAAACAGGAGAACTTACATGAAACACGTGTGCCTTTAACTGTCTACGAACTGCAATAAGGGTCCCACCCCCTGTCCTGCAACCAGTATTTCCCTGACTACGATCTTGCCTGAAGATAATAATGTCACTAAAACCTAGTTCTGAATCCAAGTAGTCCTCGTTAAGCCACGACTCCACCAGTATAATAACATCATATATACAGCTACTTACAGTCCGCGCCAACTCATTCAATCTAATACGCACACCGCCCGCATTATGATAGTAAATCTTCAGTTTTTTGAATTCTTGCTATTTCTTGACAGCCTGTAGTTTTTTGGGCTTGAAGTATTCTTCCCCTTTAGCATACTGTACATGTAAACCTGGCTCACCAACAGAACGTACGTCAAGCTCTTCATGTGCTTTCCTTATCTGATCCCTCTGTAGTGGCGTTAAGCCCGCTCTAACCTTTATAATACTATCAGTAAGGAAATTACGGTTTGCAAGGAAAACAGACACAAGCGATGCATTAAATAAAACAACCTTCAACGGCCTGGGCCCCTCGTTGTTACGTTTGTCTAGTCAAAAAGCCTTAAATTCGTCCGGAAAGAACTTTAGATACATGTTCCTTATCTTGCATAACACGGAGTTTCGAGTCATCGGCTGAACTCTCTGGTACATTGTACAAGATTACATTTTTAGATCTGATGGAACGATCCTGCATCTCACAATAAATATCAGATGAAATTTCTGTACACTCAACAAACAGCTGGGTATCATTCTCTGACTTCAAGAGCTGAATTTCATATCATCATATCATCTTTAAGGCATTTAATTTCGTTTCGGAGAACATCAATCTCACCACTATAATCAACAGATTTAATTATCTTTAATTCCTCCAAAAATGTTGTTCAGTTTGTTGTTTTGCTCATTAATAGAGTTGAAAATGTTCAATATAACAAGAACAATATCAGCCATCTCAATATTCTGCCTTTTAACCGATCTGTCCTGAATTTTTTGACCGAGTTTGGAATATTCAATATTATTTAATTCGCATTCCTTCTCGTTTTCCTACAACGTACATAATAATTGAAGCAAAACTTGACGCTTGGTAAACGCCGTCGAATAAATTTCCAAGACTTATTTATAATAAAGTGACAGACCTTTTGCAGAGTGTAATTACATTTAACGCCATGTAAAAAGCGATCTATGACCCTGCTGATCCTGTACTGCCGCAGTGCGGAAATGTTGACCTTCGTTGTAACGTTAAATATAATTAATTAAGGTGGTGTATTTATTTTTTAATTTTAAATTGCTCTGGGGCTTGAAAGGGTTAGTTGGTGGGCGTTGACTACCGCCTGAGGATATTGTCGAATTAGTAGGAGGTTGTTGCCTAACTTCTCTGACAGAAGAAAGGTGAAGAATTTAGGACAAAATGAAGTATAATTTTTGAAATGTTGCTTAGTTTCGAAAAATTATTTATTAATTATATTTAATTATTTTCGAAAAGGGGCTATAAACGATATTGAAGGAGAATAATCCTACACTGGCTACCGCATTGGAAGAAATGGTAGAAAGCCAGACTGAACTTAGATCAGCAATTGAAGCCAGTAAAATAAGCATACGGCTGAAAGTTGAATTTTTAGTCGAAAAAATAAAGAACTTCGAGAAGGAAAATACGATTTACGCAATGAAATTATTGGAAAGAGCAAATAGGATAAACAATATAATACCTTGGACAGACAGCAATCTAGAAATTACCATTAAAAACAAAATTTGTGTCAAATTAGTGGAAGACAGAAGACATTTAAGCAAAATGAGATCAGATAACATCAACAACATGATGCACTGTACGCAGATAATGTAATATACACGGTGGGGGTTATGAATTTTGAAACAAATATTGATTACCAAAAATTGGTACAGATAAATAGCGCATCTGCAACACCCTCAAGTAACAGAGAAGAAAGCGAACATTCCTTTGTGACGAACAAAAATTAAATCACAAAGAAAATTGGACTAGATGAACTAGACAAGGATTTAGTCGAAGTCAAAGTCAAAGGGAAATGTTAAATTTATTTCGTGATATTTACAATAAAACAATTGTTTTCACACGTCGAGTATAAAGTATAAGATATCAAAAGATATCACAGCCTATGCATCACATATTATAATTCTAATAAATAAGCAAATACAACTAATCAAAAGTATAAACACAAAAATGTACAAAACCAATTAATAAAAACGAAGTATACAAAATTTAAATAACACTATGCCAATCCCAACCACAAACACTACCTTACCTACCCAAAATTCATATTTCCAAAATCAAACTCCAGATATTCTTGTATATTGTAGAAAGGCCTTTTAAGTAGAATTTTTTTTAAGTTGGCTATAAACGCATTCAAACTTAAATCCTTTAATTTGTTGGATAATTTATTATATAGGACAGGACCGTAATAGTTATGAAAGTTCCTGGTATGAGTCAATCTTGTAAAAGGCAATCTTATATCAGTTGTACCACGGGTGTTATGTTCGTGGATTTTAGTATTTGTCGTATAGAGATTACCATTATTCTTCACGTAAATAAGACACAATAAAATATAATGACTTGGCAACGTCAGAATATGGAGGCCAATAAAACATGGTCTCACGTCATCGGCATATCTTATTCCCGACAGTACTGTCACCAATCTCCTCTGTAAAGCATATAAGTGAACCCTAAGAAAACTTAGAGACAAAAAGAGCCAACATTAACACAGACCGAGGCACAAGGTCCTTCAGTGATCTAATTAAAAATATATCGCCGTTAATCCTATTACAGAATTTGTCTACATGATCTTTCCCCGTTAAGCGTGGATCAAAATGAAACCCTAAGTATTTTACTGAAATAACGGTGAAATAATTAAATTCTTAATAGATAATCATAACAGTCTTTAGTGTTTTTCTTTTTCAATCTATCAAAAACATTCCTAACCTCGATCTGCGATACAGGACTAAAACTAAATGTAATGAGTAGACGTTTATGGAGAAAATCCTCAAAAGCGTGATTGTCAGACAAAGGTAGCCGATCAACTATCCTAGAGGCAACGTTTACAAAATAGTCATTAGTCTGCTTTTGATTGGAGAAAAATTCCTATGGAGATGATATTATCGGTTTTAAAATGTTTTAAAAACAACACGGTAAATGCATTTAAAGCATTCAATGATTTATCCACAGCACCTACACGAAAAATTTTAAATCATTTACTTCAATATCAGAAGCTTGGAAAAGCGCTTCGAACTCTGTTCTAAATGACTTAAAAACAACCTTTGAAGCGATTGTTCTAACAGAGATATTTCAGTATTATGATGTGACAATGTTTCCACCCCATAGCTACGACGTCCCCTATAACGAAGATAACTTTAATAAAAACGATGGTGTGTAATATATGTTAACTTGAGAGATGGCGAATGGGTTTCAACCCTGAATAAAACTCTCCCAAAAACCAAAGCACTATTCTATTGGACCACCTATTATATCATTGCCTTTCGGCTCTTCGGTCTATGTCGTACTGCCGTTCGTTTTTGCGTAGCCGGAACAGCATGCCGCTCGTCCGTCCTGACTCAGATTACGTGACTCTTGGCGGCCATAGAAAACATATCGTTAACACGGCCATCCTGCTCTGAAAACGTCGTCGCGCTATTTCTAAAATTTTAAAAACCAACAACAGAATTTTTGCAAATGTTACTATTTAAAGTTTAACTCATTACAATCAGACAACGGGGTTGCTATTGTAACATGATTTTTTTTTTTGCAATAATGGGATTGCCATTATTCCTCTACTTAATAATGGGATTGCCATTATTAATCTCACTCCTTTTTTTAATCATGGGATTGCCATTATTAACCTCTTTTTTTTTTCAATAATGGGATTGCCATTATTCTTCTACTTAATAATGGGAGTGCCATTATTAACCTCTTTTTTTTTCAATAATGGGATTGCCATTATTCTTCTACTTAATAATGGGATCGCCATTATTAACCTCTTTTTTTTTTCAATAATGGGATTGCCATTATTCTTCTACTTAATAATAGGATTGCCATTATTAACCTTTTTTTTCAATAATGGGATTGCCATTATTCTTCTACTTAATAATGGGATTGCCGTTATTAACCTCTTTTTTTTTAAATAATGGTTTTGTCATTATTGTTCTACTTAATAATGGGATTGCCATTATTAACCTTTTTTTTTTTCAATAATGGGATTGCCATTATTCTTCTACTTAATAATGGGTTTGCAATTATTAACCTCACTTTTTTTTTAATAAAAATGTCTTTTTGGGTATCCCATTCTTATACCAACAATCACTTTCACCGTGGCCAATTTTCTTACAATTGTTGCAAGTTGGGACTTTGGATGTACCTGGAGCCTCTTCTCGAACCACGTTTGATGCCTCGTGTTTATTGTGACAAGTATCTCGATGGTGTCCTTGGCGGCCACATTTAAAACATGATCCTTTTAAAAACCTCTTGGATTTCTCATGCCTCACATCCCGTTTTTCTCCGAAACGGAATTTTCTTCTAGGCAGATCATCGATTTCCAAAACACGTTTGACATTTCGTCTTGCATCATATTCGCTTAGTAATGTCAAAACCTCACGATCGGATTGCGGTAGTTGTAAATGGAGCGAGGTACGTACTTCTGCGTGATCTAACCTATATTCAACCATACTTAAAACCTTGTCCCAGGGCAATTTTTCATAAAACCTGTATATACTACGAAGTTTCTGATTGCCATAATCACATAAAGAATCAAAATCACGACTTCGCATGGTGGCAGCTTTAAATGCGCGAGCCCCAGGTGTTTCTTTATCAGGAAACGCAGTGATGAGATCAGCACAAAAATTTTCCCAAGTTCGGCGGATCGGCCGCCATTCGCAACAGTATTGATAACCTCGATTTTTCAAAGCCTCGCCTGCCCTAGCGATCATTAAATTATCGCTGACGTTTAATTCGTCTTTTAATATCTTAGCGTATTATAACCACTCACGGATTGCATAAGCGCTGTTATCCGGATCGTAGCTGGTTAATTTGAATGTCGATGTTGACGCCTGCGTATTTGGTCCTACTGCTACGGGAAGGTTGGACGTTGGCATTTCCTGTGAATGTGACGATGACATCATCGCCATCTTTGTTTGTTTCGCCAACTCAGCAATTTGTTGTTGTTGGGCAGCGATTAAATTAATTAAAGCTTCTTGCCACTGCACTGTCCCTTTCGAAAGTTCAGGAATGGACTCGACACTAGGTGCCACATTATCTCCGTTCGAATCTGTTGTAAGATTCAGCGCGGCACCGTTTGTGAAATTGTCTGCCGCCATTTTCATACTAATTCGTATTGCTTTTGCAACACTGGACACGGAACTATCCCACTCCTGATGTTAACTTAAGAGATGGCGTAAGGGTTTCAACCCTGAATAAAACTCTCCCAAAAACCAAAGCACTGTTCTATTGGACCACCTATTACAACATTGCCTTTCGGCTCTTCAGTCCATGTCGTACTGCCGTTCGTTTTTGCGTAGCCGGAACAGCATGCCGCTCATCCGTCCTGACTCAGCATACGTGACTCTTGGTGGCCATAGAAAACATATCGCTAACATATATATCACGACTATTTTGAACTACATTTGCAATGTAATTTGTTTTCCCTTTAGTGAAACATGAATCATAGAACTAAATGCAAAAGCAGGTCCTCGGGATATACATTTGACAGCGGCATGTGTACAAACCCTCAAAAATAGATATAAAAAAAAGTTTAACCTCTGGTTGATGACTTAAATTGATAAAAGAAGAAAATTTGTTTTCCACATTATTGTGAGATTTGGTTAGTTTTGGTTAGTTTGCGTAATACGTCGCGGGCGACGCAACACTACGTGGTGACGTAATTCGACACGAGGAATGTAGGCAAAAAAATCATGTACGTACTGGAAATACGATCTGGAAATCCATAGGAGATACAAAAAAAAGTTTCGCACAAAAGTTGCTTGGATTCTCCTGAAGATTTGAAATATTATAATTTAATTGATACAGGGTGTCTCAAAAGTGTTCCCCTGACATCAACTTTGTTATTTTAAGAAGAACACCCTGTGTACTTCGGCATTTTTGTAATCCTTGGTTAAAGTAAAGGTCACTTTCTAAAGAAATTCCTATTCGAGTTTTGCAGTTAGCATAACATGTATTTTGATTGCCCCATATAAAATTTTGTTGATACACTACTGATCCAGGTGCCGCAACCAAAATTTAAGTACAGACTAAGGAGATGATGCGCTACTCAATCAGGTTGACAGATACTACTCAGCTTATACAGGGTGACCCAAATAGGTGCTGCACACTATATTTTTATTCAGATATCAATCCTAGGACAAAAAATAAGGTGAGTTTGTAATTTACCTTATATTTAAATTTTACTTCCTTTTTTAAATTTTCGAGGTTTAAGATAACACCGGTATAAATTCTTGTTGAATTTAAAATTGTTACCTGAAACCGACTCGCATTCTACTATGTACCTGCTTATACACTCTGCTGCTGTGAAACGCTAGAAAGCAATCCCAACCGACGACGGCTGTTAGATCCGAACGTGGACAACAGTTCATCAACTATTGCTTGAAGGTGGTAGACGATTATTTATTAGAAATACAAAGAGATTGTCGAGATTGAGGAATAGGCAAAAGTTCGCTACTCTACTCTTACTTTCAAGTCAATGATAAGCAATTGTTAAACTTAAACTCTAGCTTCGATATGTTGACTATACCTTGAATATCTGAAATGGGACCTATAGACATCTAGATTCCTTTCTCGACCATCTTAATTCTTTGCCACCACTAAATTGCAGTCAATTACATTTACCGATGAGAAAGAGATAAGAACGGCTATCTATCATTCCTAAATATCCTAGTAACTATAAATAATGGCTCTATTAGCACCTCTGTATATAGGAAACCCACACATACCGGACAGCATTTAAATTTCTAATATAACCATTCTAAGGCAACCAAACTAACCAATCTAGGAACCACCCAAACACTCTGCAAAGAAGCAATCCCAAGTACCGAAGAATCACTCAATGTAGAATTAAAAAGGATCTGCTTCATAATGGCTACACTCAAAAATGTCTTGACAAAACATGATCAAATTTTTAAAGGAGACCCAACAGCAGAACAATGTGAGGTAGATATTCTCCCTCTTGGCGATTCCATACAGGAAAGGAATCTCAAGAAGATTAGTCAAATTGCAACACCATACAAAGTTACCACAGTATTCAGAAACCAAGACGACATCAAGGAGCATACTTACCAGAACAAAGCCGAAAACATCTACTCCTGTGTCTTCCAAATACCCTGTGAATGTGGGGAGACATATATTGTAGAAACAAAAAAATCTTTAAAAGTTAGAGTTGAAGAAGGGTTGAGGAATCGCGGAATATGCATGCACCAAACAACACCACATCAAATAGTCCGACGTCCGAATGTCCACAGCGAACTGCATTGGATAAAACTCAAGTTTAAGGAAGCTGCATTCATTAAAAAAAGTGGAAACATCTTTAGCAATCCAAAGTGCATCCGACTCCGTCACTGTTGAACGCGTTAATCGAGTATGTAAGCCTCGCAGCCTTAGGATTAAATTTAGTCTGCATAAATGTATAAAATAAAGACAATTGAAGTGTAACAACTTCTCACTATTTCTAGTTCATCAATTAGCTGCGAATGCCTTAACCAAGATTAATCATAATCAAAATCATCATCAGATGGTTATCACCTGTTGATCTATGGAAACTAGCAATAAGGAACATAGGAGTACTGTAGAACGAGGTAAAATAAACAAAGTTCAGATTACAACAGCACGCATCTGAAAGGCAACACCGAATCTTCTAATCAAAAGCCAGAATATTTCAACACTGGTGCAAGTGGAAATTGAAGGAACCAATTTTTATCTAAGGGAGCAACGAGGCCTTCAGTAATCCATCAGTTGAGGTAAACATGCTATGGATACCACCAGTCACAGGTAGCAAGGCGTCATAACATTTACAAATCCTGCGTTGGTTGTTGATTAATAGAACTTGCTGACGTTTCGCGAATCATTCTGTGAGCTCCTTCAATGCTTAGAAAACTGGATCGCAAAGTAGCCTGTACCTACTTTTATACTGTTTGAGGAGGGGTGGGGGGTGGAGCTAAAGGACGGGAGTGAACATTGTCTCGGATGACTAGTTTCCATATTAGTAAAAGACTTGAGTCGCGTTTAAGATTATTTGGTTGTTTAGTTTAGTTTGGTCGCATACGATTTGAGGTCTGGTTTCGGAAACTGCCGATAAGTTTATTTGTAGTAGGCTTTTTCATGTTCTTTCAACCCAGTTGATATTTTTGCCGCATATATTTAGATCTCACTGTATCTCAAACGGAATTTGATGGATTTTATTTCTTGAGGACTTTTGATATATAGCCAGAGAAGTTTTGAATGTAAAGAAGAACCACGGTGGCAATTACGGGGTTGATTCCCGACTCATTTTCTTTGGGGGTTGTGGTGAAGTGTACTTTGTAATGTCTAGAGAGACAGATATTGAGCGGTTCATTTCAATATATATTTCACCACAATTTCCCAAAACCCGCAAGCAACCCCACATTTCTTATATGCAACACATTACTGACTACCTATCAGAGGTTCTTAAGAAATATAATGTCAAAACCAGATTTACCAAGTATCCAATAATCACTTAACATCTTCGATATATGAATGACTAGACAATGCGGCCAGAAATAATCTAGACAAACAGGACGAAAATGATCAACTAAAAGAACATTTTTTCTATTGAATAACTCATAATGAAGTCAATGTAAAGCGCAGCAAAAAAACGATTTGTCAATTTCGAAAATAATATGGAAATAAACAAATGTCCTCCAATTTCAGTGACCCCGCGTATATCTTATCTTTTAGAGATGGCAAATTTTGCATTTAAATTATTTCTAAGTTTCAAATACAATTCATGCCCGTTGTAGTTACTAGGAAATTTCCATTCTATATGTTACAATTTCAAATTTAATTCAATTCAAAAAAATTAAACGGAAAGAAAGTTTTAACATTAAAAAATTAGGTGAATGTTCTGCCACACTGATCAAATGTCGTATTGCAAAAATTTGTATACCTGGGATTCAAGGATAAATTATCAAAATCAGGGGAAGTGATTAAGGAATAAAAATATTATGTTTGAGTGTAATACAATTTTTATTCTTTTTCATTGGAAATCATATTACATATAATGGATAATCCGACATGATATTTTTTATTACGATTAAAACACAATTAATACACATCAGAATATGAATTGATTTTTTTTTATTTAGCAACACAATTAGTAAAGTTATTATACAAATTTTATTTTAAAATTAAAATACCCACTTCTTAGATCCCAATATGACTGTGAAGTCCATCAATTTACTCCATGGCAAAAAATTACATGGGAAAAATAGATTCGACAATATTTTAAGGCGAATGGAACTAGCGAATAAATGATTTGATAATGCACAGTTTTGTAGATTTGAACAACGGGCTTGTTTGCAACATTTGAATTTGCACTCTTTTTTTTTGACTTAATTCGATACCATTTTGTCATTAAAGCAGGCTATAAAATTTTCGACGTTTTAGCTTCCTCCGTTTTGAAGTTATTTAGTTAGCGTCGACGGGTTCCTGACGTCATGCCCTCCACTGGGTGTGGTGTATTTGATTTTTATAGTAATATTGTTGTTTAAGTGTTTTTGTAATATATTCACTTGAAACAGTATTGAAGATTCCTCAAATTTACCAGAAGTTATTATTTTTAATTTAAATACAACGAATCAAATTGCACGGATAATTAATAGGTTATGTTAGGAGTATGGCAGACAGCTAACTATATTATAATATACAGTGTGCCGCATTTAAGAGGAAGACACCCCTATATAAAGACGTAGATCACCAACTTCAGACAGTAACGGCGAAGATAAAACGACGGCCCCTAAAAATAACCCATCATACTTTAACATTATGTGTAGCGATTTTAAAGCTAAAGTCTATTAAGCAGATTAAGAGCTACTATAGAAATTAACAAGCAAATCGAAAGACCCAAAATGATTTAAAAGGAGCAAAATAATGCATGGGCTCCTCTACGAAACCCACTCGAATTCCGATCTGAATGAACCAGAAGACACATGCAATAAAAGATACCAAAATTAGTTGCGCCCAAAAATTGAAAAAAGGTAAAAAATTAGTAATAAAACAAAGATCAAAATGGGAACAAGAAGAACACTCATAGGAATAGAGAACACAAACCAGCAAGAAATAAAACAGTTAAACAAAGCCATAAAGAAAAATGTAAGAAAATACAAAGAAGTGAAAATCATAGAAACAATCGAAGCAAATAGCAACATGCAAGTAATTAAAATACATTTTGGAAAAACAATATGTAAGAAACTGGTTAATGTAGAAGAGGGACAAATCGGAAAAGCGCAAAATGTAGAATCGGAAGATATACCAGAAGAAATCAAACACGCCATCAAAAACATAAAATTCATAAATATCCTCACAAATTGGAATAACGCAATTATGATTGAACCGTTTGAAAAAGAGAGCAACACTAACCTCGAAAACTACAAGCCCTAGAGATTCCTTTTTTGATATTGTCATGCATGTTTTTGTCCAATAATATACTGAACGTTTTTCTCAGATATCGCTTCGTTCAGTGTTCCGTCTTGGGAGATTTTCATTTCCAAATATTTGTACACTCTGCAATGCTTAATGACTTGTCCCGTTGTTAGTAGGTCTTGTTATTACCCTCCAGTGGAGCTATACTCAGCCTTGTGGATGTTTACTTCTACTCAGTCAGCTTGCGTGTCATATATTCTCTAGGGATATTTCCTCGTCCCGGGGTCTACCATTCTTTAAAGTTTTACACATCTCTGTTAGTTTTATTGGGATTCTGTTACACAAATGTATGGCAAGATCAATGCTCAACGAAGAAATTCGTCATAGAACAACAGTGGAAAATATAATGGAATATATCAGAAATGCGAAGTGGAGATGGGAGAGATATATTGCGAAGCTACAGGGCGGCAGAGGGACAAAGAAAATACTAGAACGAGACCCCCTATGATCTTAAAGAAATAAGAACAGATTGGATGCAGACGACACAGAAAAGGAGAGATTGGAACATACTGGGCAAGCCTGTGGTCGACAGTAGACAAGAGAAGAAGACTGATGATGATGAACATTGCTTGAAGTATTGAGGCAATTTTAAACCACTCAACACTTTCTTCCCACTCACTTTAAATTATTACACTCATACCCCGAAACACCGCGAGGGCTTGGCGATGCAATTCCATTTAAGGGCTTTAAGGATTCACCAAAAAAAAATGAAATTTTATATATCGGCATGTTCTAGTTTCGATTGTCAAAATTAAAAAAAAAAGGCGAAACAGACCCATTGTCGATAACTTTTGAAGTTTATTCACGTAATTCAATATTAAAATTCATGCTAGCGTAATCTTCAAAAACCTTAAGTGAATTAAATAAAATTACACACAAATAATTTTAAAACTATTTAAGAAAGCCTATAGTTTAATGCAAACTAAATCTAGGACAAAGACAAGGAACAATTATTAGTTTGTTAAAATGACCAAAAACAAAGTGGTCATCGCTCGAATATGTTACTCACGTCTTGAAACATAGCCTAATACAATTTAATAAACATAATACGGTAACGAATCAGTCTACGAATAACCTATTAAAACTAGTCTAATAATACGTCTCTTTTCTATACCATCCGTCGGGATTGTTCCGTATCCTCCATTTTCTAAACTCGTCGAAAATAAATATGAATAATGCAAATGGAATCGAGTAACACCACCTGAAAATAATTATTGGTAAGTTTTTAGGACAAGGGGTCGAAATTTATTTACCATCTGAATAACACCGGATAAAACTTCAAATAGTTCATTTTGGGAAGATAGGACAGCATGCACGCTACCACAGTTTCCACAACCAAACTGATGTTGAGAATCATGTTGCCCATGCCTATAAAAGGAAAATCAGTAGCACCAAAATAACATGTGTTTTTAATAATAAAATTCACATGAAAAGGTGAGAGATGTCATATTAAACCTAAAAAATACTCTCAGTAGAATGTAAACGTTAACATCATAAAAGGCAAAAAAGCCATAATAAAATAAACCGCTTCTCTGATTTTTTCAAGATACAAGTAGTAGTGACTGTTTCCCAAAATACCTCACGTGACCTCTGATTAACCTCAACGCACAACTAATATTCTCAACTAACTCAACTTGGACTAACAAATAACGTGTACGTATAAACTCAACTATACTGAACTTTGCACTGCATGTAATAGCCAAAAAAATAAAATCTTATTCCACGTACTACTGTTACAAATGTTTTGGATTCCTCCTGCGACGATAGTTGATAAATCGAACTTGCTGACGTTTCGTCAATCATCCTGTTAGCTTCTTTAGAGCTTAACTGAAGCTGATTTGCATTCTATGCTGTATGGTATGTTAATAGTTATAAGAAAGTGACCAATTGCTTTTGAATGGGATTATCCAATTGTGGTCATTAACATACAATGCAACAAGATTATTACCTAAACTTTCGGAATTTAAATTCAGGTAAAATTGTGGTCCGTAATAGAAAATAATTTTATACCTACCTGTGTTTAATATTCTTTGGTTTGGTATACTACTTAGTTTAAGTTTATTAGTAATTATTCTTATTTCGTGTGTAATACAGCGTGGGTTGAATCGTGTGCGAATTATGCAAAATATGTGCGAGTCTAGTGTATCTCAGGAGATGCTCCCGCCCAAATGTAGAAAACACTATTCTATTGAGACTAAGGAAGTTATAAACAATGTTTATTTGACTCGGATTGAACGTGGTGCCAGCAAGCAAGCATCTTTAGAAAAAACGGCCACATTGACGAAAATTCCAACATCAACTGTATGGAAAATTGTGAAAATCCCATTTCAGCGAGGAAAAAAAGAAACGACATTTTCTCGAGTGTAGATGAAAGTGATCAAGATATAATACGGCGTATAATTTACCATTTTTACCTACATTAGATATCTTAATTAGCAGGCTTGAATAAGATGAAACCGGTGTTAAATGTGGCAGAACTACCTTATGGAAGTGTATTCAACGCATGGGTTTTAGATTTAACAAAATTGACAAAAGGCAAGTTTTAATAGAATCTTTTAGAATTCGGAAATGGCGAATGGAATATCTAGAATAAATTAGGATTTACAGAGAACAACAAAGGCCAATTATTTACTTGGATGAAACCTGGTTCGACACTTATGATACCCCGGAAAAGGATTGGGTTGACTCAACTGATAAGTGTAAAATAAACGCGCCATCAAAAAGAGGTAAAAGAATAACAAATTTGCATGCTGGCTCTAAAGATGGTTGAATTCCAAATGGACTTTCTCTGTCTGCGAAAAATATTAAAGATTCTTCTCTGGATAACCATGAAGACACCACCGCTGATTTATTTGAAAGTTGGTTTAAAAACAAACTAGTTCCAAACATTCCTCCTAATAGCGTCATTGTAATGGACAATGCAAGTTATCACAGTAGACAGTCGACTAAAACCCCTTCCTCATGTGACACAAAAGCAACAATCCAAAACTACATGTATAATAACGACATTTATTTTCACGAAGATTATACCAAAAAGCAATTAATTGAGGTTCTACAAAGCTTGAACCTACAAAAGGAATACGTCTGTGATAATTATGCAAAAATCTAGGGTATACAGTTTTAAGGCTCCCCACCTTACCACTGTATGTTTAATCCTATTGAACATGTTTGAAAATGAACTGAAATCTGCCATTCGTCGTAACAATGTTTTTTCCCGTGTTAACTCCAATGTCCTCAAACGTATAGAAACAGAAGTTTTTAACATCAGTCCACAAAATTGGGCAAATTCTGTTAAACATATATAAAAAGCAGAACAATCGTATATCCATATTGAGAATAATATAGAACAATAATACTTAGAACAGGCGATGATAGCGATAGTGATACTAATATATTATGTGAATAATTTTAAGTAATTTAAGTAGGTAATAAAAATAATTTGTAATTTTATTTTAGATTTAAACTTAAATACAAACATAAATAAATAAATATTGTTTAGTATCTTTCCTAAGCAAAATACGAACCTGTTCGGCCATATTTCATTCTTACAGCTTGCCCGGGTCTTTCCTTAATTCGTATCAGTTAGTCATTTTCTTATATCTATGAACAGACTTTACCTTTCGAAATAATATCATCAAAAATATTTTCTTCGAAATTTGTGTAATAAAAATATTGCAGTGCTCTAATCTGCTTATTACCGGAAGGCAAGATTACAGCGTTGTTCTTTAAATATTGAGATCCAACGATGCCGCCAGGTGGTTATTTTGAGGACTGTCTTCAAATTGCAATAGTGCTTTTCCTCACTGAGTATGTGACGACGTCTTTTATTTTTATAATGCAGGCTTTCCTTCCTCATAAACTGATGGTAGAAGTTAAAAGTCTTTTTATGGCTGGACTTTGCCTCAATGAAAATTTATTCATAAACAAAAAAAGAAGTAATTAAGAATATAGTCAAAATTATTGCAGAATTCGCTGCAGAGATTTTAAGGGTGTGTTATTGAGCCAAAGATTCAGAAACGGTGATTTGTAGAACCCTCTACATAGCATAACAAAAGGGGGGATTTGAATTTGAAAAAGATGAGAAAATTGATAATGCACGAAATATTGCAGCAATGTAAGATTTTTTTCATTTAAAAATGCAAGTTTTGCAAAATTATTAAACGACAAGAGAACCATTTTATATGCAAAGCGTTGTATGTGTAATAAAAAAGTTGGTAGTGCTCACAGCGAAAGCCATGGAAATATAAACAAGAAAAAGTTCAAATTAACCCAAGCAACTTTTGGCATGAGATGCAATGCGGTGGCGACCTTCTCTTTCCCATCCTTTTACTCTCCTGTTTTCTCTGTACCGATTTATAACTCTAGAGATGGTGGACCTGCAGCGAACTTGCCACGTACCTTTGGTTTCTTTGCACAGGAGCGAAATATTAAGTGATGCTAAATTTCTGTGGTGTGTACATTTGTCTTGTTGTAACATCAATGATTTTCAAATGATAAAGACTCTTATGAAAGTTAAGGTTTCTTATAAACTCCTTATAAATATTCATTACCATATAAAAAAAATCTTCAGTTGCGACAAATGTAATGTAATGTACCATTACTTTCTTTAAAATCTATCAAAAGAATTTCTTCACAATCCCAACCTGAATTTTCTTGAAGGTGCATCACCCTTACGACGCCACTCCGTTGATTCTTTTTTAGATAGAGGGTCATAATAGAGAACCATAGTTTCATCTCCCGTCACAATAGTTTCTATCACAGGCTTCGGTTCCGACAAAAACCGCGCACACTCGACACGGCGTTGTTTTTGAATAGCCGAAAGGTTTTTAGGAACCCTTCTTGCACTAAACTTATGCATACCTAAATGATCTTGCAGAATTCGACGAGCACTTGTATCAGAAAGCTTAGTAATTTCTGAGATTTCCTTGACCTTTAAACGTCGATCACTCAATACCACCTCTTCCACATTTAATAAAATAGTTGATAAAATGATTAAGTTATTTATTATTTTAATTTAAGCTACGGTTAAGTAATAGACAAGTAATAAAATATTTGCGAGCATTCATTTGACTGTCTTGCAAAAACTGGAGGATGTTTTCAAAATTGGCATGCGAATAGAACGTGAAAAGACCTCCATTAAAAAAAAAACTTAAAATAGCAGCCTGCTGTCATTTATTATGACGTTTTGAGACATTTCTTTTATGTCAAAAATTAGGCATTTTAATTATGTATGTAACATTCATTAAACAATAAAAACAGCAAAGTGTTTTAAAAGAACACGGTGAAAAAAATTCCATTAACTTAACAAATTAACAGTTTCAGTCAAGCTTCGAAGAAGCCAACAAGATGATTGGCGAAACGTCAGCAATTTCGACTCTGCAAAAACCAGTGACCGACTACTATAAGAACTCTCCATATGTACAGGACAAATTTCAGTTTTCGATAATGTCGCAACTGCAAGTTGCACAATCTCTAACTGAAATTAAAACTAGAGCGGTTGACCACGAAAGGAAACTATATTAACACTCAATAACGCGTTTTACCACAAACCGAAACTCAATTTTACGTACTCGACGCGCGTTTCGCCAACCAAGTTGGCATCTTCAGGAGAAGATTAAAACTAAACAGAACAAATGCTCTCCATATATATATACACATCGGGAAGTGGGAGAGGGAATTATGCACTCTCCACGCAACCAATCAGCGCGTATAATGAACTAAATGGGATTGGACCTCTGTCCTTAACAATTTCTAAGCTTTCGTAGGCATCTAATTTTCTACTATTATTTACATGTTTAACTAATTTTAAATTACTTATATCTACCTTATGATTATTGTTGAACATATGTTCGGCTACACTTGATTTTTCTAATCTACCAATTATTAAATGTGCTAAGTGTTCCTTAAAGCTAACATTAATTGATCTTTTGGTCTGCCCTACATATGACTTGTCACATATTTCATAAATTCCCGACTTTTCAAGGGTATCTAGTTTATCCTTGGGATTACCCAAGAGATTTTTTAATTTTGATCCGGACTGATAGACACTTCGAAGACCTGCGGCCTTGAAGACTCTATCAAGTTCACTTGTATATTGGGGAAAGAAAGGAATTGAGACTACTTTTAAATTTTCCTTATCAGCTTGAAAAGTCGTTGATTTTTGAAGTTTGTTTTTAAATCTAAATTTCCTAATTAACTTATCGATAAAACTATCTTCATAGCCATTGATTCTAGCCACCTTTTTTATAAGCCTTCTTTCCGCCTCAAACCTTTCTTGATTTAAAGGAAATCTGACAAGTCTATGGACTAGAAAATTAAACTTGCCATTTTATGTTGAAAAGCATGGTCATATGTAGGGCAAACCAAAAGATCAATTAATGTCAGAGTTAAGGAACACTTAGTACATTTAAAATTTGGTACAAAAATCATAAGGTAGATATAAGTAATTTAAAATTAGTTAAACATGTAAATAATAGTAGAAAATTAGATGCCTACGAAAGCTTAGAAATTGTTAAGAGAGGGAATAATGCACTGAACAAGGACAGAGGTCCAATCCCATTTAGCCCATTATACGCGCTGATTGGTTGCGTGAACAGTGCGTAATTCCCTCTCCCACTTCCCGATGTGTATATGTATTATATATATGTATATATTCTTAAATATCTAGGTTTTGGAGAGGCATCTGTGAATTTAATAAAAAACCGGTCAGTCACAAGCTGCCGCCGCTGTTGTCTCTATTTCAAAATCATCAAAACAAAATGCCCTAAATAAATTTCAGAATAAATTACTTTTAGAACAGAATAACATAAATCTAAGATTTAAAAGAGTCATTATTCCTTGTCACCGAGGTTGAACTATTCTATGCCTTCATAATACGATAATAAATTCTTTTCCAAATACACTGAAAACTTGGTTACTTTCAAAAATGTAAAAAAATATACTGGCATTTTTAGCTGTTAGTTTTGTTAGAGAGCTAGGTTTAGGGCTTTGTTCTTTCTATATATAGATAGGTACTAAACGAATAAGAAATTTTAGTTTAAACTTTGTGAGAATTTTGTTGTAAATCTTTAATTTTTTGTACGGATAAGTGCAGACATCAGCAACCAGATACGTCGGGGCGTTATACTCTTGCTTTTTATTGTAACTTTCCTTTTCTAAATTACTTAAATCAAGCATATTTACCTAAACAAAATAAAACTAGAATCTTTGGAATGGAAATGTTCGACAACTAAGCATATTTAAATCACGTCTTGTACCGCTCAAATCGCGAAACTTTTAAACGAATTTCAACACGCGACTCACCAAATCCAATCCAATAACAATCAGTAGATAAATATGAACAATTGTATCGGTTTATTTTTTTGCCTTACCTTGAGTAACTATGGAATTAATTCTAGTCTTGCAAACGATTAAGTCGAGCCATTGCGTAACTACGACAGATATCATGAAAGCAGTGTAACACGTGTATTCCAAATCTTTGCGATGTTCATATGTCCATTCCTGTCCGTACGAATCCATTAAATCGTTAATGGACTCTGAATCCCATTCTTCACGAAGTCCTATAATTCAACAGGCATAAACATTTTTAAATTGAACAATTTTTCATTTATGAGCAAAAGTTGCTGTAGCTTGTTTCGTAATGCGAGACAGAATCATTAAACAGGATGGACAACTAAAAGGTTATATTCTCAAGTTCAGATAAATTGCGTATTCCAGTTTTTAGGACCTACGAGGGCAGCGCCAAAATTTCTTGGCCTGAATATGAAAGAAACAAAGTAGAGTAACAATTTTTTATTATTTTTCATTATAATCGCCCTTAACTTCAATACATTTATTACATCTCTTTATTAACAACTCAATCCCGTTAAAAAATTATTCTTTTGGTTTGTCTGCAAAATAACCTAAAACAGCCTCTTTTAACTCAACTTCGTCGTTAAACCGCCATCCACGTAAGTCCTTTTTCAAATGTCCAAACAGATAATAGTCGCTGGGGGCCATATATAAGGAGGATCATCTATCTGTTGGAACCCACACTCTAAAATGGCAGCTTGTGCAACACCAGCAGTATGGACAGGTGCATTATCGTGCAAAAGACGCACGCCTCTGGGCAGTTTTGCTCGACGTTTTACACGTATGCAGTCTCGCAATTTATGTAATAATGTTGCGTAATATTTACCATTAGTTTCTTTAAAATCTATCAAAAGAATTCCTTCAAGATCGTGGCCATCATCTTTTTTTTTTGACTGGCAGACTCTGAATTTTCTTGGAGGTGCTTCACTTTTACGACGGCACTCCATTGATTCTTTTTTCGATAGAGGGTCATAATAGAGAACCATAGTTTCATCTCCTGTCACAATAGTTTCTATCACAGACTTCGGTTCCGACCCGCAGAGTTCCAAATAAGACCGCGCACACTCGACATGGCGTTGTTTTTGAATAGCCGAAATGTTTTTAGGAACCCATTTTGCACTAACCTTATGCATACCTAAATGATTGTGCAGGATTTGACGAACACTTGTATCAGAAAGCTTAGTAACGTCGATCACTCAATACCACCTCTTCCACAATCGCAACAATATCTTCCGTTATGACCTCCACTCCTGCCTCATTCGAAAACGTTTTGCTTATTCTTTTTCTACAGAATACGAAGCAGAACTTTGGCCATACACACCATCCAGCCTTTCTTTAATAATTTTAGGTGCTAAGTCTAAAAAATTAATAGAGTTATCCTGTTCAATCTCGATAGTAAATTTTATACGATTATGTATTGAGTTAATGTAATTTAAAAAAGAATTCAATTGTCTGTCCGTTCCAACAAAGCAAGCAAAGACATCGTCCACATATCTATACCACCAAAAAAAAGTTTTACTTAAAGGATGTTCTAGTATGATATTTTCCAAATTATCCATAAAAATCTCGGCTAACAAAGGACTAAGTGGGTTTCCCATAATCAAACCTTCGTTAGAGCTATAAATCTGTCCATTAAATTCAAAATAATTTTGGTCTAAAGATACTGTTAAGCAATCTAATAAATCTTGTTTCACCAATGGGTTAACCTGTCTCCGAGTTAGGGTAAAATCTACTAAATCTATCACATCCATAGGTGGAATACTGGGAAATAATTTTTGTACATCAAAAGACAATAGATTTGCGTTAGAAGGGATTTTAATATCTTTAATTTTGTTGATTAATTCAAAAGAATTTTTTATTGCAAATTTAGGTTTAAAATCTGTGTGGAACTTTAAAATATTTACTAATTTTGTAGAGAGTTTATATGCTGGAGCTGTTACATAAGACACCACTGGTCTAATGGGCATATCTTGTTTATGTAATTTAACTAAGGAATATAATTTAGGCGGTTGTGGATTCATAATTGTTAAAATATAGTTGTCTTTGTCACTAAATAGTGTGGAGTTATTAATTACATCTTTGACTTGTCTTTGATATAACTCAGTTGGATCGTGTTTGATACAAACACACACGATCAAACTGTGTGTATCAAACACGATCCAACTGAGTTATATCAAAGACAAGTCAAAAATGTAATTATGTAATTTATAAACTTTTTTTTTAAATCAGTAATTCCTGAGAAATGTACATGCCCACCCTGTACTTCGAATTGATGCTTATGTAATTTACTATTATTTTTATACTGCATTACATTTATTGTGTTCATTATTTATTGTATATATTATAATACTAAACGTAACATTATTTTCAAAATGTATATGTTCAGTCTTCATTAAAAACGAAACAAAGATTCTTAATAAAGATCCACATTGTGATGGAAACGTTGAATAAAATATAAATATCTAAAAAATGTTGACAGTAGTGAACAACCTCGACCCAAGAATTACACAAGCATAATAATTATGCATAATTATAATTATAATATAGGTGGACAAATATTTTTTCTAGGATTTGGCAAATAAAAACTAATGTGGAAGTAGGAATAATGTAAAAATCGTAGTAAATATTTTAACCATCGTTTTCCGGGTAGTCAGATGAACTTTAGTCACAGTGTTTTCCCGCATGTTATCAGCATCCTGCATTGTTTCTTCTGTTTTAATCACACCGAAATTTTTCATAATCCACTACTTAGATTTTCATCTTGCCCGGTTTTACCCACGGTATATCTTTTATTTACCCAAATAATAGATATTCGACATTCTTCATTAAAACTGATTTTCTGTTTTCAATTTTTTCGTAACGTAAATTCGTTTATTTGAAATTTTTCCACATTTTCTTTCTATCCTATTTCAGAAATTATTTTATCCAATTTCCCTACTTGTGTGAATTTTTTAATATTTACATTTTTTTTTTCCTAGTGGTCACTTAATGCGACCAAAGACATATTGTTGACTATTCAACTCCAGTCATATTCGAAGACATTTCAACTATTTTCGCAACAAGGTATGTTGAGTTTTGTGGACGAAGATTATGGAACAGATTGAGAATAATAATTTTCTCAATTTTAAAAACCGCAGCAAAAACAAATTTAGAAACACTAGCCATTTTCAAAAACGACCTTTGCCAACAACTGACTTGACAAACCTCATAGATACAATACTACGCCTATGAAATCCTGAGTACCGATTTATAAATTTCTCGTATTAAGAAACGGAGCTAAAATAATTTTTGCCCTGTGCAAAGAAAATTTTTTTATGTCGGCATGTGCATTTTTTGCTGGTGAATCACGACGTATCAAATTTGACATTTCCCATTGAGAAATGGTAAGACATCAAAAATACCAGAGACATTTACGGTTGTAAATTTATTTATTTTAGTTTATTCTCCTGGTAATATCAAAAATGTTAATACATAATAAAATTGTTCTTATTATATTAGAAGAACGATTGATATTCTGAAATAATTTTTCATCATATTTTATCCAAGAACTGTTATCAAATTTAAACCAAATTATAAATAAACACATTTACGAAAATATTTAAATATTTGCCTTTACCTATCAAAATTAACAATATTTATAGAAAATATTAAAAATCTATGTTGTTTTTGAAAATATCAAAAAAATTTATTAAACAAACAATCGGTTTTTTTTTGGAATATCCCAATTTAAAAAAAAGCATCAAACTGCTTATGTGGTTTAGACTAAACTCCTTGATAAAGTGCCTTTTCTTCTCATTCCACCTTAGATAAAGTGGTTTGTTGATTAGTTTTGGTTAGCAATAAAGATAATTTCAAAGGAATATTATTTTTTAACTTTCGTTCAATTTTAGCCAACTGCTGCGGTTTTCGAAATCGCAATGGTGAGCGCCGGATTTGAAACATCATATATAATGAACGAAAATTTGTTAAATAAAACTGTTATTAGTAGTAGTTTACAGTATGAAAATACTGTGGCAAACTACTATAATTTATGTATTTTTTTTTTATTTATATATTTTTGCATTTAAAGATTTCTACAAGGAATGTGAATGTTAATGATATCTTTGTTTTGAAATTTTAGCGAGACTTTACCAATTAGAAAAAAGTCAAATTAATAAATATGTTTTGCTATGATCTCCTATACCTCTCAATCTACAGTATAAAAATTTAAATTTTAATGCTAATAAATTATTTTCAATTTTATCGAATTTTGAAACTTCTGTATGAAATAATTACTTAGGTTTGCTAAACTGTAAGCAATTTTTATACTATAAACATTTTCTCTTTTCTTTCAATAAGTTCGTAATATGCACGTTCCATGAAACATTAGACGTTTTGGGAAAAGGAGAAGTAGGAGTTAAAATTTGTTGACTCTCCTCAGCGCCGCAGTGTCACCGCTTGTATGGAAATAAGCTACAACTTTGATTTTTTTCCCTCCATTACTGACCATCTTTGTCAGATATTTCCATTTTCAATTGATCTGTGACATTTTTGTACCTAAATGGTATTAATAAAATATTATGATACATGTAAAAAAATTGAATAAAAACAGATCATTCAAATTAAGTTTTCCCGAAAAAACTTAAAAACTGCTAGATATAAGTATAGCGTAATATTTTACAAAAATGGTCAGGAAGGGACAGCAAAGCGGAAATGGAACAATATAAAAGGTGTCCTTTTGAAAAATTTAAAGTTACTGCTACTTTTCGATGGAAACTACAACACTGCGATTTTGTATTTAAAATAAAGACACTCCTCTATTTTGTCAAACTAAATAAATACAGATTTGAAGTTTTGCACTATCATATAGGTTAATGGTTCACATTTTTTTAAGATATTCAAGCCAAATTTAAATTTTAAACGCGGTCTACTGTGAATCCACAAACACAACGGGAAATAAAAATTATTAAAAGCTGATTTTTTATTTCAGAAATTACTGTTCCATAGAAAGAAAATTCAATACATATTATCAATAAATATGGTCAATTTAATAGTGTTCTTGATGTAATTTAGATTCTTCAGTAAAACTACACTAACATAAAGGAATAATTATTTTAATTTAAAAAAACAATAATTTTAATTAGGAAACTAATTAAATTTAAAAAAATAATTATGACACTGTATCAAATGTCATCTCACTCGACTAGTCCTTCATTTATTCCAATACATTTTTTATTTTTTTAAGATTCCGTCTGGATGCGCGTCTCAGTTTGAGACTGTTAATTTTGTGACAGTCTTGTCTTATTTTGGCAAAAAAAAAATTGATTTTTCTCACTCCTCAAAAAGAAAAATAGAGTGGTGTAATATCAGGAAACTCGGAAGCTGGAGTTCACAAGGGCCCTTTTTTTCACTAAAACGCATAGGAAATTTCTGGTTTGAATGTGGGGATTATCTCTGACCCAGTATTTAAAATTTTGAGAGGTGGTGAGTGGAACCTCATTGGTCATAAATGCTTGTCATTTACAAAATTATCTTGGGCTCAATAACAATAATCAAATCTTTATTATCATTCCCTTCTTTTAATGTATGGTAAGAACTTTGGTTTATGAAGTTTGAATTCGTTACGGATGAAACATCTTCTAATTTGTATAGTTTTGCTCGATTTTCCTCTAGTATACCGTTATTTTCAGGACGCGGGAATATTCGCCGAGGTTGGCTATTCGGATGCATTTTAATAACAATGTCAGATTCATTGACAACAGCATTTATAGCGGCTGCTTTTCCATGTGTGACGTTAAACTCTGCAGCAACTTCTCTGCTACTACGAGCCAAATAATCAGACAATAGGACTGTTTTAATTTTCTCGCTTTTTAATCGCATTTTACCATTTTAGCATTTTACAATTAATCAAAGATCAACTTTTAATATTCTTGTTTAGACGTTGACCAAAATAACATTTTCGAATATCTCCAACGCGGAGCAAGATATTAAAAATTGGACCTGTTTGTGGATTCACAGTGGGCCGCGCTTAAAACTTAAAATTTAGTATCTTCAAAACCTCAGAATTTAGATATTTTATTTATAGATTTAGGTAGCCAAAGGATTGGGTTGTTTATTATTTTTTTATTTTATTTTATTAAACCCTCTTTATAATTTAAAATACTTTTTATCTATATCTACTAAAACATTTATTTTAAAACAGTAAGAAATATGGGAAATTTTGCCAAACTACTTCCGCCACTCTGTATGTGAAATTTCATAATGAAAAATATTTACCAAACAGTTTCCTGGGCATAAATCCGTGTTCCGCCATGATGGCGAAATAGACGAAAAATCCTCCCAATGCTTCCACCAGTCCGATATGCCCATAAGCCAAAAAATATAATTTCCTGGTAACCAGCTTGTCTTTTCTTGGATTTCGGGGCGGCCTAAGCATGATATCACTTTCCGCTTTCTCGTAGGCTAAACTTATTGCTGGCAGCATATCAGTTAACAAGTCTATACACAAAATAGCCATAACACCTGCAATTGCAAAAACGTGTCACCCGATTATCCGGAAAATGGCAGTTAACCCCTTGATCAAAAAGTTCTCGAAATAAACAATGTTTGGCACACCCATTGTTCTGATATTAGTTTTTTTTTCTTGTTAAGTTGGTACATCTATTGTATTATGTATTAAATTTAGCTTTAAAAACGGATTTAATGGTGCACGAGCGTCGCAAATGTTGGAAAAGTGTGTCGACAATGATTAGTAGAAGTAGAAAACCTACGGAAACATTGACGAAATAACAGAAATGTTGCTCAATAATCGCAAATTAACCATCACAGAGATAGCGGAAAACTTGAAAAGACATTTTGATTAATGATTTGGGTTTCCAAAGTGTAGCAGCCAACTTGGTGCCAAAAGTCCTCAGTTTCATGCAAAAAGAGACCGTATTGACGTCGCAAAATAGATGATTTGCAATGCTAAATAAGATTCCACATTTATTAAAAGGAGAAAATGCTTACTGTTTTCATGAATTGCAACGGTATAGGAATTTTTGTCAGAAGGCCAGACGTTAGGAGAAGTTTGCGTGAAGCAATTTGCCGAAAAAGACGAGAATTGTGGGCAGAAAACTTGTGGACTTCTTTCTGTTCAATAGAGTAAAAAAAACACACTATGGGGAACCCGTATCAGCAGGCGAGAGGAAGTAATGGAAACATACCAGGAAGCACTGATTTACATACCGAAACCAGAATACAAAAAATGTTTTTAGGATTGGATCAAGCGCTGGCATAAGAGTGTTGCAGTCGATGGGGATTACTTTGAAGGTGACAATATAGATTTAGACGTTTAATTTTTTTTTTAATTTTCTAAATAAATTCCAGGATCTTTTTGATCAAGGGTAATACTCACCTAATGGTAGTGGAATGTTTAATAATACGAAAGCCAAAAATGGCAAGATTTCCGGTACATTCGAAGCCAACGTGTAGGCAATCGATTTCTTTAAATTATCAAAAATTTTTCTGCCTTCTTCCACCCCTGTTATGATAGATGCAAAATTGTCGTCCAACAATATCATGTCAGCGGACTGCTGGGATACCTCGGAGCCCGAAATACCCATCGCAATGCCAATATCTGCCTTCTTAAGAGCCGGAGCATCATTTACACCATCCCCGGTAACGGCAACTAAAACCATAGTACTGTTTTTATAAATTGCTGTAAAATACTCTATTTTGAGTCACTTGCAAAGTGTGCATTGGTCAAGGGGTTTGGGTGCGATCGGATAGCTTAAAACACTGACAGTATTTACCCAGAATTTAATAGTCGTAGAAAAAATATAGTATGCAACAGGTCATGTGATGACTTTGCAGGAAACGATAATTTCAGTGTTCTTATGATCTCACTCATTTTGGATTGTGTTAGCCTAATTAGAAGGTCGTAGTTCTCTTTGCAAAATAAATAGAGAGATTCGTCAATTTTTTTTTTCAAAGAAACTTCTACAGACTACTGTAATACTTTTTATAAAACTCCTGGATTAATCCTGCGTAGGTTTCTATTGATTCGAACTAGCTAGCGTTTCGCCAATCATCCTGTTGACTTCTTCAGAGCTTGATTGAAACTGTCAGTTTTGGTTAGTTGACAGTTTCAGTCAAGCTCTGAAGAAGCCAACAGGATGAGTGGCGAAACGTCAGCAAGTTCGACTCAGCAAAAACCGACGCTGGAGGAATCCAGAAGTTCTGTAAAAAGTATTACAATAGCCTATGGAAGTTTCTTTTAAAAATTTACTCTGTACTTGCTTTTATATTTTTGAGGGGGGTGGAGCTAAATAAGGGGCATAAACACCGTCTCGGATGACTGATTCCCATATCGGCGACAGGTAAATACCTGAGTCGCGGTTAAGATTGTTAGAGTCTATAGAAATCTATAAGCAGCCTAACAATCTTAACCGCTACTCAGGTCTTTACGGGTCACCAATATGGGAATCAGTTATCCGAGACGGTGTTTATGCCCCTAATTTAGCTCTGCCCACCCCCCTTCCTCAAACAATATAAAAGCAAGTAAGCAAGAAAATTTAAAAGCACAAAATGTTCATTTATATATATAAATAAGATTTGTAGGTCTAATCAAAAACAACATGATAGCATGTAAGTTAAATATAACTTAAAGACATTCAGAACTAAAATGGAAATGGACAGCCCACATATCTAACTAGGTTAATACACGCTGTTACCAATCATAATTCAGCCCAATTTAAAAGCTGCTTTAGCTATAACTCTATCAAAGCGAACAATAAACTCCCTCCCCAACTTAATTACTTTTAAACATGAACTTAAGCAACACATTGTTCACCACAGGAACATCTATGTATATCGAGTTTTCTTGCTATTTATAATTTTTAGTTGTAAATCCTTTACAAAAGCTTTGTTTTTCATTGTCTGTCTATATTGTATATAAAGTTTTCTATTCGTTGTAATATGTGTATATCTAATCTGACACTCGCCCCTACCTTACGATATTCTGTAAAATTTTGCATGTTAACGAATAAAGAGTATTATTGCAATTATTATTATATATAGTGTGAAAGACCCAAGATGGACCCGCATTCAGGGGTGACTTGAAAAAGTGCGATGATGATATCTGCAAGTTTAATATTTTAACTAATAGCTGGAGAGAAATAGTTAGTAATAATATATACTTATGTGAATGTGTGTGTAAGTTTGCACCGAACTTATTTTTTTTAAACATGCGTCTAGAAAATAGAGTAAAAGGACGGGTTTTATCGAAGGATTAATCTTTTGGGTTGTTTGGTAGGTACATAGTTTAGCAAGAAGCTCTTCTCTTATCTTAGAAAAATAATTTTAAGCTGAACTTTGATATGCAGGGATTCTAGAAATTAAAAATTAAAATTTTTATTACAGAAGCACAGAATACCATTATATAAAAAAAAGTTTTACTTATAACAGCATTCAACTGTATAATTCTTAGACACATTCATTTATTTAACTATAACTATAACTGTTTACTGCACGGGTGGTAACTCAACCTGTGAACTACTTTTTCTAAGACCATTAGCTTGGGTACATTTACAAACAGCACGAATACGTTGACTGAGTAGCGTGTAACGTGGCCATAAGAAGTGACAAACATCAAAATATCAATATTTTAAATCTACCGGTATTTTACAGTACAAAGTAGGGAATAGTATATTATACAACAAGTGCTGTAAACGGCAACTGACTCACGAATTTATTTGACACGAGCGGAGCGCAACGGAGCGAGTTTTTAATAAACGAGTGAGTTAATAATAATTAATAATTTTTCTACGACCGTTAGTTTTTGGGTACATTTTCGCAAAACAACACAAATATATTCACTGGCATGACCGTCAGAATTGACGAAGGTCAAAATTCAAAGTGTGGGAAATATTTCCGAAAACATCCGATTGCTCCCAAATCCGTGCGGTAAAATCCCGGAAATGTCCGAAGTGGCTCGGATTGGTGGGAAACGAAACTGACGTGGTAAAGTAACACTTCCCGCACGCTAGATCGGTGTGTATTTAGGTATTTTACAGACCGGAGTAGAAAAATACACTTTAGCTGTGTATTCCTGTATAACCTATGGAACATAAAATGTATGTAGAAGTTTCCAAGAAATTGGCGAATATACTTCAAATAAATACCTTGACTACCAGTTTCTATAAGGCCAGAAGTGTAATCATATTAAAAACATTTCGAAGCAAGAGCCCCATTTATCTGATTGATTTTATGGTTCCATAATCGAGTCTCCAACAAAACATATTTTATACATTTTGCATGCATCATAACTAAGGCGATTTATAACGTAACACCTTACCAATTTCTCCTAAGCGTTGACATCCTTCCACAATATGTAGCTTCTGAGTGGGCGAAGTCCTAGCGAATACAATTTCTTTAAAGTTGTAAAGAATTCTGTCCAGCTCGTCGTTATTCATGTCCCTTAATGCCGAACCGTGGATAACAATTGCCTTGTTTTTCAAATTCGATGGTAACGTTTCGATGATATTGATGTTGAACGCGTCGATAACTTCTTCGCAGCTTATTATGCCCACTTCGCGGGCAATTGCCTTTGCTGTAATCTAAAGAAAGTTTATGCTAGCTTACTAGATAAATCAGCAAACTTCTGAGCTTGTAAATATTTTTTAGGCTAAAGTCAGAAAAGTGCAAAGTAATTATCTTCCACTTCAGCTGCTCTCTAGTGTGAATTAACACTGAGTTTTAATTGCATCAATTACATGGACGGAGATTTTTGAGTTTATATTATTGCGTCTAATTTTGTTGTAATTGTAATTCAGACCACATCATTTCTGTAAGATTTAAATCGCTTATCGATTATCAATTTAATCTAAGCATATTTTTTTTACAAATAAGTTTTATCATACGATTTGATTTGTAAACCTTCAAATAGTTGTTTTTCTTTTTATAAAAGTATCTTTAAAATGATGCTGATAAAAAAACTCTTGCAATACATCTTTTTTGCTGCTGATCGTTGGTACTATTTTAACCAAAGTGCTGTGATAATTAGCATTATCATAAACTATTACGCTGCCTATTAGGATATCTGGAAAAAGAGAATTTTTTGCCCCATTTTCAAAAGGATTACTTGCCATATCGTGATCTTAGTCTAATGAACAGTTTTTAATGTTTTTTGCTGAAAGTAGCAAAGCGTTTGGTAGCATTCTTCTCTCGAGCGGCAGTGTAGGTACAGGTACATTCAAAATAAAAATAACTGCCTGTACTGACAATAGCTTGTAAATCGGCTTTATATTGGTTTATTGCAACAAACAGAAACCATTGCCCATGCTGGTTCGAGCCCAAAAATAACACCAAATCAGGACACAGTAACGGGACCAAAAAATATAGCAAACCGACTGAACAATATTCAGACAGAAATACTGAAACTTTTGAAACGGCTTCAACTCAAATTCCTGACAAAACTTCTCAATAAATTATTTGAAATGGGGAACTGCCTGGAGAGATTATCTTCCTAAGAAAGCAATTGCTACTAGGTGATCTAACTAACTAACTAACAGAGAAACAAAATCTTCATGAATAAGCAGCCCCACTATATTACAGTATTATAAACTCGACAAGTCTTGGACTGCACTCGAAGAAAACATAAGCAATGTTAAGTTCTGAATCAGAAGTGGAATGAGAACGCAGGAATCCCCATTTTCTATACAAGTTCTTATGGAAAGGGCCAGGGACGTAAACTTTTTTAACAACTTAAAAAAGGGGTTTAATAGGGCGCAACATCAACAAAATATTTTGTAATTTTAATACCAGAATCTGTCACCGGCGACAAAGAGTTTCGCCTCTCAACTAATCTGTATTTGCACTGTGCGTATGGACACAAGACCTTCCATACTGATTAGTCAAATGCTAAATCAAACAGAAGAAAGCATTAGGAGAAATGGGAGACCAACAATAATTTAAGTAGAAATATAGTTCTCATAACAGATAATGCTAAGGGGTATGCGACATCTGTGGGTTCCATTCCAGATGGTCAACATATCGAGAAGAGATCCGCATTTGCCGCATCTATAGGGTGAGTTTAAAACCATTCCATTCATAGATTCGCTACCACCGTAGAGAGGGGGAAACCCATTGGTAGGCCATCATCTTTTGCGTAAAATTTGTATTTAAGAAAGTAAGAAATATGTAGACAGCACTTAAAGAGCTCGCATCACTCCTTCCAACAGTAGCAAATTTCTGTCTGGAAGTGTCGTATCATTCCTCAATCTGGCTTTGATTCCTCCAAGGGAACGTTTTTGTACAAACTTTGCACGTCAAAGCTAACAAACTTGTCTGAGGCACATATTTTCAGGTTTTTTAAAATATCTACCAAATTCTCGGAGATCTTCACAAATGAAAGAGTGTTCGCTACAAATGGCTGGACGACTTAAGCTGCTGGTTGGGAAATCCCTCGAAGTGAGTGGTACATTTTCTTTGTTGATTTATAATCCAAAAAAATGTGGTGGTTCATATAGGCGGCAATTGTTAAACCTAGGATCTAGCTTAGATATTTTGGCGATACCTTCATCAGCTGAAATGGAACCGACACACAGCAAGTCTCCTTTCTCTAGCATCTTATTAAATAATAAATTTAATTTAATAAATTTAACGTTGAGCAAGATAAGAACGGCTGCCTAGATATCCTATTAAGTAGAAATTATAGCTCTATCAACATCAGTGTATATAGAAAACCTACATTTACCGAACGATATTTAGATTATGAGTCTAACCATTTGAAACAACCAAACTAGGAATCATAAAAACTCTCAGTCAAAGAGTAAACATAATATGCATTGATGAGGCTCCATCACTCGATGTAGAATTGAGCAGTACTAAAAATGATTTGCTTCATAATCGTTCCACTAAAAAATGTAATGACAAAATAATATCAAACTGTAAACGGAAAGTAACAGCAATATTTCTATTGAATCATTGCCTACTACCCTCAAGCAAATATATTCTTTTAGTTAGTAAAAACGATGAGACCACCAGTATAGGATCAATAACGAAATCGTGGAAACAACAGATACAATAAGGTATTTGGGCCGCAACCTGAACAACCTGAACAAAGAATCACTCACGGGAGATCAAATACCTTATAGAAAAAGTCAGAACTGTTTTAAACCATCTCAAAAAGGTCCTAAGGTTTTAAGATTCTCATATTAATTGGAAGCCTAGAAATCGACATATGCTATATCCAAATGATTATAAGTTTGTGGAGTGCGGTATCATCAGGACCTCATACGCTTGCCATGTTACAAAGAACACCGCGTCCTTCTTTTTTTTTAAAGAAACTTCAACAGGCTATTGTAATACTATTTACAAATCCTCTGGATTCCTTTTGCGTCGGTTGATGGCTTCTTCAAAGCTTAGCTAAAAGAAACGTGAAAAACCTAGGTCGCTAAACTCTTTTTCGTTGGTAGGAGAATTGATTACATGCAAGAATTTTAGTTTTACCGAATAAAATTTGATGTACGGTTTCGTGATTATATTTAGCAACTACTGATGAGCTTATTTGTCGTAGTCTTAAGGCTCTTTCATGTTCTTTGAGCCTAGTTGTACTGTGAACTCCTAGCATCTGAAACAGAATTTTGTCTTTGATGGATTGAAGATGTTGAAAGATTTTTGTTCAAGTGGTAAATCTGGTTTTGATGTTACATTTTAAAAGTTCAAAAGTTCTTAAGAAATATCTTAACATCTTTGAGAAGGTTATGGCATTCAATGCATATGAGGCAAAGAAAACATTGGAGAAACCGGACGAAAAATATCAACCATGCTCAAACATGAAAGGGCTTTAAGACTAAGAAAAATAAACTCATCACCAGTTGCCAGACACAATCACGAAAGCGAACATCAAATTTTATTCGGTAAAACTGAAATTCTTGCATGTAATCAATACCAACGAAAAATCTGAAAGTCTATAGAAATCTATGAGCAATCAAACAATGTTCTTCTTCTCAAGTCTTTATCTGTCACCAATATGGGAATCAGTTATCTAAGACAATGTTCATGTCCCTCCTTTAGCTCCAACCCTATGGTACAATATATAAGCAAGTACACAGTAGAATACGCACGAGTTTCAGTTAAGTTCTGAAAAAGTAAACAGGATGATTGGCGAAATCTAAGCAAACATGTGATGCGTAATGAGAAGTGTCAACTTATCCAACTAATTGCAGGTCAAAATAGATAGTAGAAGAAGTCAGGGGCACCGACGTACGTCGTGACTGAAAAATATTAGACAGTGGGGAACTGTTCTTTCCAGTTGACGTTATAATTAATTGACGGTCCAATCGATCAAGTAATGACGATCCCACATTTTCACCTTTTCTTTAATAAGTTGCTGGGCGGCTACGTCGTGAATGATAGCTGAATCAGCCACAAGATATTTTATCATTTCACAAAAATAATTCTTAAAACAATCCGAATTCATGTCCTCGTGGTCCAAGTGGACAGAAATGACAACAAAGCTTATTAATTAGTACCGGACTGACGATATACATCAGAAACAATAATAGAGCCCAAAAAATTGATAAAATTTGGACAGAATTTTTAATTTTATTACTACAGACTTTTCTGAAATACCTTTACAGGTTTCAGTAGCTCCAGCAGAAAGTTAGGACTTAAAAAATGTTAGAGTTTGACGAGAGAAATGTATATCGGATTTCCATCGCAGTAGACCCAACTCCACGGCGCTATGTTTTCATAGAAGAATCGATTAAATGAACTGCAGAGGCAAGTACCAGGTTATATTAGTAGTGTGGCTAACAGAGGTTAAATAAATTAAGGTAGTATATAACAAATTGAAGGTCCTTCTATAGGTACATAGTTTCACAAGTTTATGCTTAAAATTCATTAAATAAAAGGTCAAGGTCAATCAGAATATTTATTCTTTTTGGTCAAGAAATCAATGCTTTAATTTCACGTTTCCTGTATTCATTGTTGTTATGCACATATAATTCTCTATATCTTGGTTTGCTTAAATTCACTGTTAATTTAATAATTTTTCATTTTTATGAATTTATAATATCCAGACCAATTCAGACACAAAATTTCTAACCAAAAAAAAAACGCTTAGGGATCTTGCACTCTGTCAAATTCATCTCAGTTTCGGAAGGTACGCTTAGAATTGTTTTTCATGGAGCATTTCTCTACAAGGCAATTTCTTCCCACTTATTTTAAATTATTAAACTCATACCCGCCCCGTTTTGACGTGACCCAAGTTTTTTAATTTAGTTAATGGCTACTTTCAATTTCATAATAATGATCACAAGCCCGCAGTGCCAGTTAAAATACTACATTCCTTCCATCTTCATCCGTCCATTCCCATTCATCAACAAACTTTTCTCTACTTACTTGTTTAGGTAATATAAAACATTTGCAGAGAAACAATATGATTTTGCAACCATTGATGATGATAGAACCTGAGCTAAATGTTACACATGGATCATCCCTCGTAATGAGAATATGAGAAAACCGGCAATGCAAGAGAATGGCTAAGACTTATTGATTTACCGTGCGAGTCGAACCGTTAAATGTATGTGGCAACCTTGGTGACACAAATAAGAAACCGAGCAGGGGGCACCACAATCGCTATTCAAGGCAAAGAAAATTTACTGGGGTCTTCACACCGCTTCACTGTACTACAGTTGATTTTAAAAATAGTCTATACGGTCTTAACAGATGGTATCTTTGAACGGAGGTGTAACGTATGTATTTAATTGTGAAAATTTTAAAATTAAGGTTAATTTTCATTTCTGGGTTTTGTTTGAAAATGAATACGTCGCACACTGGTGGATTTGCTCATAAACATGGCAGAAAAGATTTGCATTTTAATACTTACAAGAAAAAACACTATAGTTAGTTAAAAAAGCACATATATTAAAAAAAAACTAATAAACTCAATGAAAAAAAAATAGGAAAACAGAAAAGCGGGGTTTCACCCAATTCGATAGCAATTCAATACAAACTAGGGAATAATAGTATAACATAGTACACTCATCTGAAAAATATTGCTCTTTACTTTTGAAGATTCCAACAAACTTATTCTATCAGGAAGAAGTGATTTCATTTTTTTCTATAAAAATGTTCTCTAAATTGTTTAATATCTTTATTCCAGGCGTTCTGTGCCTCTGCAGATAACATTCCTTTTAATAACAAAAAAGAATTGATGATGTTTAATGTATAAATTTCGTACATGTCAAATCTTGATGACGATATTTTTAATACTGCATGGAATATAACGAGGGACCAAAAAATATAAATATTTTAAAACAAGTAATTAATAACTAAATATATTTGCTTAACAGAAATCATTCCGAATTTGTTTTGAGTGCAATCATAAGTATGTTAATAAAATACTTGTTCAACTGCAGAGCAAACTATGGAGATTACGTGAAAAATTTGTAAATCAATATATTTTTCCAAGTTTTTTTTCCAAGGCAAAGGCTAAAGCAAATACCAATGTATAATATATTTGAAATTGAGTTGAAAAGTACTTTCATCTTGAGTAGAACTATGAAGTTTGTGTCATTAAAAAAGGAAAATTCTTAATTTTCTAAACATTTGTGGCGTTCATTTGTTTGTATTATTGGGACGTTCAGAAGATAATAAAAAAAAGTCATACAACTTTCGTATAACAAGTTTTTGTCTTTCCCATTTAATAAACTTTGCGAATGGGTGTCAAAATATAACTGGAAACTCTGCAGAAAAAATTATCACACTTTAAAAGAGTACACGAAAAATAAACACTAAAACTTAAAAAAGATAGTTAGGTTTTTTTTACAGGTTCTGAGGTAAAGTGTCGTCCTATAATAACAAAATCTGAATTGTTAATCTTCTCCAGTTCTCTTTAGTTGAAAAATGATTAAAGCAGTTACCATTTCGTTTGGAAACCTTATGACTTTTATAAAGAATATTATTCAAAACACTCAACACTTAAAATCTCCTTACAGGATGATCTCCTGTGACCATGACCACCCGAATTCCAGCACTTCTACAACGTTCCACGGCATCGGGCACTTGCGGTCTCGGGGGATCTATCAAGGACATAAAACCTACAAATCTGAGGTTGGTGCGCGGGAAATTAGGAGGTTCGGCACAGAATTTGTAATCTTTCGTGTAAGAACTATCCAAAACCAAGTCGGCGAAACCCAAGACTCTTTCTCCTTTCTCCGCTAGTTCTGTACACGCTTTGTCGCAAACTTCCCGCATTTCGTCAGTCATTTCTTTCGTGCCAGATTCGCTGCAAATGTGGGAACACCTGCAACAGAAGCATTATTATGTATCGCCGAATTAGGTAAGAAATAATTTGGGGCATGAACCGCAACACGTGAATTAATCAAAATCCCGTTCTGGCGACTTTATAGAAATATATTGCATTAAACATCAGCCAAATATTAAGCGGTTCTGTCGATTGAAATTAAAATAATAACGACTTTTAGCACATCTTATTTTTTCCAACTTTCTCCTTTTAACCCATAAAGTTCGTTACTAAAGTTTAAAAAGTAGGTGGTACAGGTTCGGTTGTCACTTGCACACGACACGTGGCCATAATTAGCCCTGAATAAACGGAGTAATAAATCGATAAAATGGCGATTTAGAAGCCATCAGTACAGGGAGGTATTTTTATTTTAGTAGTATCGACACCTTCAAAATTTTAAAATCATTTGCGAGATTAAGGGCGTGACAGTTATTATTTGTTACGTTTAAACCATGGGTTCAAGAAAATTTCTACTACGGACAGTAATGTATCAGAAATTGTCATTTGAAGATGCGCTTCAAAAGAAACGCTTTACGAGTCTACGAAGGTAAAATTTATGTAATACTCATATCTTTGTCTTTATCATCGGACAATTGTACATATTGTTTCTACATATTTAAATTTAAAAAACTTTTTGAAAAAATATCTATTACTATAACGTTCCTAGGACGTACGAGGGCAACGCCAAAATTTCCCGGCCTGAATATGAAAGAAACAAGGTAGAGTAACATTTTTTTATTATTTTTCAATATAATTCCCCTTAACTTCAATACACTTATTACATTTCTTAATTAACAACTCAATCCCTTTAAAAAAATATTCTTTTGGTTTGTCTGCAAAATAACCTAAAACAGCCTCTTTTAACTCAACTTCGTCGTTAAACCGCCGTCCACGTAAGTCCTTTTTCAAATGTCCAAACAAATAATAGTCGCTGGGGGCCATATATAAGGAGGATCATCTATCTGTTGGAACCCACACTCTAAAATGGCAGCTTATGCAACACCAGCAGTATGGACAGATGCGTTATCGTGCAAAAGACGCAAGCCTCTGGTCAGTTTTCCTCGATGTTTTACACGTATGCAGTCTCGCAATTTATGTAATAATGTTGCGTAATATTTACCATTGACAGTGGTATTAGTTTCTTTAAAATCTATCAAAAGAATTCCTTCACAATCCCAAAAGATCATGGCAATCACCTTTTTTGTTGACTGGCAGACTCTGAATTTTCTGGGAATTGCTTCACCCTTACGACGCTACATTGATTCTTTTTTCGATCGAGGGTCACAATAGAGAACCATAGTTTCATCTCCCGTCACGATAGTTTCTATCACAGGCTTCGGTTCCGACCCACAGAGTTCCAAAAAAAAGCGCCCACACTCGACATGGCGTTGTTTTTGAATAGCCGAAAGGTTTTTAGGAACCCATCTTGCACTAACCTTATGCATATCTAAATGATCATGGAGGATTCGACGAAAATTTGTATCAGAAAGCTTAGTAATTTCTGAGATTTCCTTGACCTCTAAACGTCGATCACTCAATACCACCTCTTCCACAATCGCAACAATATCTTCCGTTATGACCTCTACTGGTCGACCAGTTCTTGAATCATCTTCAAGGGACTCCTGCCCAATTCGAAAACGTTTTGCCCATTGTTTCACTACCGAATATGAAGGAGAAGTTTGACCGTACACACCATCCAGCCTTTCTTTAATAATTTTAGGTGCAAACCTTTCTTTTGTCAAAAACTTTATGACTGCTCTATACTCAATTTGCGTTATGTGCGACATTTATTCGCACACGTCTTGTTTAAAATGCTGTCAATAAAAAACTATTTGACGAAAGACTTCAATTTTTCTTTTCGCAGCCTACTAAGGTACATATTTAAAAGAAGATAAAGTTTTATCGTGATACTGGAGCTGCACCTATGTCAGACCGGGAAATTTTGGCGCTAACCTCGTAGAAAATTAAAACAAAATCCGCTAATAATTACTATTTTTTAATGGAAAATTTGTCTGCAGGTGTTTTAAAACGTCAGAGGACATGGTAGCTGCCTCTGAGAGGACAGTGAAATTAACTGGCATTCCAAGGTCAACTATGCGTCGATTCCTTGATTATGATTCACTAGAAAGGAAGGAACAATACCATTTACATAATTTCTGGATTTCTCCTGCTCCTGCTCCTGGTTGTTGTTGAATCGAACTTATTGACGGTTCGCCAATTTGGTGCGATTTTTGGTTTTTAGGAATGGACATGAACATAGAGAATATGTGGCCCTAACTAGATAGTGCGACATGTTGCAGGTGAAACAGTAAATCTATGATATACACAGCTTGGTAGGAGGCTTATCTCCAGGAATATAGACGTAAATTGGTCACTTAAGTTCATAATACTTGAGGCCGCTTGATTTTTTTTGAGGCTACGTGAAAACGAACCGCAAACCATTCAACAATTGAAAGAAGAAAATGATCAAAGAATAAGTGACATCATGACCTCAAGAAATGTGTTCAAAAATAATGGAAAACTTCAACAATAGAATTTTGTGCCGCCAGCAAAGTCGATATGGCCATTTGACAGATATTATGTTCCACGTATCCACACTATCCAACACTACCATAAATTACATTTATGTCATGAAACTTTTATTTTATTTGTTTAGTTTATTATATATTATATATATTTATATAGTAATTTATTGTTGTCCATTTTACACTGTGGCTAGAGGGAAGCTTGGGTGCTAAACATTTTGCTTCTTTCAGTAAAAAGAATTGTACACTATTGATTAGACTACCATCAGGACATTTTAAATGAAGTTTCTAAAAATTTGATATACGTCCCTTTATGGTTTGTATTTAAGTTGACTTAGATATAAACTAAATCGAGTAGAAGAACTGAATAGTAGTTATATTAAATATTTATTTGTACCAACAAAACATACAATTTTTAATTTATTAGTTTTTAGTGTTTCAAAAAACTCATACTTTTTGATTTTTATGCTGTTTGAAATGAGCTATTCAACTATAAAAAATAATATTTATCCATTTAAATAATAATAAAATTGGGAAATACAAAACAAAAAGTCAATCAAGGAAGTCGACTGAGCACTTAGGGTATAATTTCTATGCTTAAATGAGAGAATATAGCTTCATAATTACAGATACATTGATGATGTAGTGGTAGGATATCATCTGCCTGCAATGAGGTGGTCGCTGGTGCAATCGTGTTTTTAGTAATATTTTTTCTAATATTTCTTTTAAAAATACAAATTAATTGACTTTTTCATAAACCTTTTTTTTTATCTCAATTACTGTTGTAATTTGCGTCTCATTAAAAGTGGTCGAAGCTGGGGAGACCGATTATAACGTTGAGTTTGATTGGTGTCTTCGATTATTTTTATGTGGTTTGTCATGATGTCTTTAATTAATACGAGTAGATATGTTTTCTTTCCAGATCAACAGCAAAAATCAGCATCACCTATTGATTAAGGATTTTTAATTATATAGCAAATTGAAACGGTCGTTCAGATTAAAACAAAGCGAAGTGGTTACTACTAAAATCGCAATTAAACTCGTGATCTACGACAGTAGGAAACGCTCTATTAGCTCAAAAGAATGTTTAATGAAGTCGAGGTGGCTATCACAACTGGAAAAAGTCAAAATAATGTTGCTAAAATCTACCAAAAATGTTCGATCGTTCTCACACACATCCTAGAATAACAACAATTTTGTACCCTTGATCTGTGCATAATAGCATCTTTTAGAGCAGTGAGTAAAAAAAAGATTTTTTTTTACGCTAGACTGGCCACGAAAAAGAAAGGAAGAGTTCAAATTTATTCCAAATTGAATGAGAATTTCCAAAATGATTTTTATTTATAAAGAAATCAGTGCCTTATTTTTTTAATACCACCCGAAGCCCCACTGGTGACAATAATACCTCGAAACACAAATTGCATTTTGATGCTTGAGTTCTTGGGAATTCCTTCATAGTGTACACCATAATACCACTGTGAGTTACCCCTCGATCAATGCCACCTTTCACAAAATAGATTATAATCAAGAGCGCGAATTCACACATTCTCGTTCGAGTCGCCGTTTTCTTTAACGGGATACCAAGTCGCATTTTAAACACTAGATATCTACAACTCATGCTGATAAATAACTACCTAGCCAAAATACGTTCGGGTGCTCCTTTCATAACAACAAGAACATGGCCGTCCTCCATGGCATGAATACTAATCTGGAAAAGAAAAACATTATTAAGCCCAAAAAGCAGTGTAATTTTAGAGTCCTGTTAATATAAAAGATACTGCGTCACTCATAGATACATACTGATATACAAAACAAGTGCAAATACGAAAGTTTCATCGTTTATATTGAACTATAATAATTTTTGAAGTAAGAAATAGATATAGATATGCTGCTATGAATTATGCACGAAATTTCATCCAGAATTCGAAAATAGAAACTAAAAAACTGTGTTCTATTTACAAAAAGAAATTTGGATCGACATCTACTTTTTGTCCTCCCACCCAAAAGGAAGTAAAACTAGGGATTTAAGTATAGCCGGTATGCTGAAAATATTCCTAAATATTTAATATTATTTCGAGTTTTTATTTTCTTTTTTACTATCCGTTGTTGCAATGAAAGTGATATCTTTGCATTTAATGTTTTTTTTTGACAACAATTACTTTTCGAGATAGGGCTACATTCTTGACAATGCAAGAGAGTAATACATAAGTCTCCCGAGGAAAGCGCTAACATCACTGTAATAATCATATAGTTAGGTACCGCCGGTTAAGGAGCAAAAGACCGCACATAATCGTAATCCCAAAAACCCCTCACAGGGAGCCCCCGTCGCGATGTGCTCCGCCCCCGTTCTAATGTACCCCCTTGCTACCAGAGTGTGCTCCTTAAAACCACATTCGGCAGCAACGGACGGATCCGGGTGAACGGACGCATCCCGGATATGCACCGGACCAAACAGGGCGTTACACAATAGGGATTTTTAAGGGGCGGAGCACACTCTGATAGCAAGGGGGCACACTAGTACGGGGGCGGAGCACAACGCGGCGAGACCCCCTGGGAGGGGTTTTTGACATTGAGGTTATGTGCGGTTTTTTACTCCTTAACTGGCGGTACATAATTACCAATCATCTTTAATAATTTTAAATATACCTGATATTTTGTAGTAGAGCTAAATGGTATTTCGAGTAGTTTTGGGTTCTTGTGCCTGAAATCGGTCGGAGACCCGTGAATATGGGATAGCTCGACGAATTTCAAGATTGCCTCTTCCGACGCATCACCTCTGACTTTTCTCAACTGGATCGGTAAATTTTCTTCACCGTGAATAAATTCCGCACGGTTACACAGCGTGGCACACCGCATCAGGGTCCTAAAAGCTGAAATTATGCTTTAACTATTCTGAATATAGGAAGAGCAAAAAAATAAATAAAAAGAAGCTATTTAATTAAGTCAGTAGACAAATTGTCAAGTTCGTATTTTCAAATAGTGGATAAACACTCCAAATTAGTTTTTCTATAACAATGTAAGGAATGTCCCCCGATCATTTCAAGTACGAGCAAAGCGGAAAATATTTCAATTCCATTTAAGAAAAGTGAGAATTATATTTCACTTTTCTACTTTTACAGAGGTTCCAATTTTTCCAATTTAAGATTGATACGCAGAGGAAAATTGGAAATGTTAGTCTCTTGGACGTTACGTATCTTAATCTGCGCAAAAATGATTCTCGAGAAGTAGACCTGAGCGACGCAGAAACCAGTAGTTTTTAGATATAAAATAAAAGAAAACTGTTAATTCATTTAACAGCTCGATTGCATTTTCTCAAACATCTATAATTGTTCCTACACTATCTATTAAGTATGAAGCAGTTTGATCATTTACTTTATACAAGAGAAATCCAAATAAATCAATCAGCAATTTAATAATAATAATAATAATAATTAAATAAGTAAATATACATTTTATAAGAAATTTAGATATGCGGACCTAGTTCAGTCCAGCATTTCAGGAATACTGAGTTTTCTTACAGTAGATCAGACATAGTATCCGACATAAAGAAATATAGTGGAAAATGCATTCACAGAATTTGCTAAAAAAAAATAGAAAATCAACCACATTTGATAAAAAAAAATATGAGCGGATATTACATACTAAGTTGAACAATAACAGATCAAATAAGAAAATCATTGTTTTAATAACATAATTTTGTACAGCAGCATAAAATAACAGAGATTCGACAAAACCGAGCGTTGAACAAGTTTTTTCATTTGAAGAAAAATATTTTTCAATAAAACATCTGAATCTGAGATCTGAACTTTAAAGAAAGAATCAGCCCCTGAAGTTTTTTGCATTAATATATTTGTTCACTTTGGCTACATGTTGCACCAAACGTGTTACCAATGGGTGTTTTTTTTTTCGATGTATTGAACTTTAAGTTGGCATTACTGTTCAAGATGGCGACCGATTTAACAGCTGTCAAGTGATTTATTCTCAGTTTGGTTTGTCAATTCATCATGAATAGACTCACGCCTGAACAACGCTTGCAAATAGTGCAATTTTATTTCGAAAATAATGGTTCTGTGCGGAATACGTATCGCGATTTTATCGTCGACAAAATCGTCCATCGGAGTAGTTAATTCGATTAACCATGGAACGTTTTCGCACCACGTTTACTGATAACTCGCATCCCCAGAGACGCTGTACGGTGCGTACAGAAGCTATTGCTGCTGTAGAGCGTAGCATTGAGGAAGACCCGAATGAGTCCATCCGCCATCGAGCACAGGAATTGTATTTGTGTCCATCCACTTTATGGAAGATTTTGCGAAAGGATCTTGGTTTACGTGCTTACAAAATCCAACTCATGCAAGAATTGAAGCCAAACGATCATCAAGCAATGCGTAGATTCGTCCAATGGGCCCAAAACGAAATTGCCGTTGTTCCCGATTTTCATAAGTGAATTTTGTTTAGCGATGAAGCGCACTTCTGGTTGAATGGCTACGTCAACAAACAAAACTGCCGCATTTGAAGCGAAGCTAATCCTCAAGTGTATGTCGAAACACCGTTACATCCAGAAAAACTGACTGTTTGGTGCGCTTTATTGGCCGGTGGAATCATTGGTCCGTACTTCTTCAAAAACGATGATGGCCAGAACGTTACAGTCAATGGTGATCGGTATAGAGCTATGATTACTAACTCTTTCATTCCTGAATTGAATAACCATGATGTCCAGGAGATGTGGTTTCACCAAGACGGTGCAACATGTCACACAGCTAGTGCCACAATCGATTTATTGAAAGATACGTTTGGTGACCGCCTAATTTCACATTTTGGACCTGTGAATTGGCCTCCAAGATCTTGTGATTTAACACCGCTAGACTACTTTCTGTGGAGCTATGTAAAGTCATTGGTCTATGCGGATAAGCCACAAACGATTGACCATTTGGAAGACAACATTCGCCGTGTTATTGGCGATATACGGCCACAAATGTTGGAAAAAGTCATCGAAAATTGAACGTCCAGATTGGACTACATCCGCGCCAGCCCTGGCGGTCATATGCCAGAAATCATATTTAAAATGTAATGCCACAAGATTATCTTTCGGATAAATAAAATTCATGTCAATCGAATAATCCATCGTTGTTTTAATGTAACTTAAAGTTCTATACATCGAAAAAAAAAACACCCCTTACTTAGTGTTTAATAAGTCACAAAATGAATGAAATTGCAGAAAAACATATAAATTGATTTGCAAATTTCAAGAAAAAAATTAATTTTTCATGACAGATGTTACTCAACTTTAAAATTTTAAATCTGAGTAATTCAAATTGTCTATTAGAGAAATTGGACTATTAGAGAATAAACAGCAAAATATTGAAAGCAACTCTTTATTATATATTAACTCCAATCACTATACTAATAGACAAATGCTTCCAACAAAGAAATTTGCCCAGGTCGCTTAGGATTGCGAAGATTATCCCTACATAAAAAAGGGATGTGCATACCACTTACAACTAAAAAGTTCTTGAATCAATGGTTAAAGAATAATTTGTGTCGTATTTTGGACATAAACTTATTATTATCTAACAATCAGTTAGCTTTTGATAATGACAAATCGACAGCAGCAATAATAAATTTTGTCAATCAACCATGGGGTGCTCCAAGGATCCATTTTCAGACGGGCTCTGTTTATTGTGTAGATAAATGACTTTCTCAATACTGTCTAGAATGGATATGATGATGGTTGATGTATCTATAACTCGATGCATACTAACAGCTAAGCGGTTCGCTGACTTAAGAAAGATAATTTGGCACACAATATTCTTTTACACGATGTTCTTTTTACATCCGACAAATGGAACGAATAATCAGAGCCTTTAAAGCTTATACGTGTCATGCATCTCTGTTTGAGATTATCCACTCAGATATTTGTGATAAGACGACTTAGAAAGTGTCTTACTGATAATGTATTGAAAACGGTCTACTATCCTCTTGTCCACAGCCGAATTAAGTATGGCGTTCTACTATGGGGAAACTCACTTTACCCTTACAAAGTATTCATCCTGCAAAAAGAACCAATAAAACTGATTGGCAATGTTTCAATTCGTGACATGATAGACCGATTTTTTAATAATTTCGAATTCTTACGTTGCCGATCTATATAAACTGGAAACAATCGTTGAAATCTATATACATTTCAAAGATTATCCAACGTTTTCCTCTCATAGTTGATTTGAGTCTTTATAACTCACTTAAACATAAGGACAAAGAACATAACATCACAAATATAAATAAGCCAACATTTAAGAAATTTTTGGACAATATTCATTTTACAATATGACAAAATTGAATATATATATATATATATATATATATATATATATATATATATATATATATATATATAGTGTTCGAAGTGTTTTCGGAACGCGAGCATTGAAGATGCCAAGTGAGATTTTGGCGAAACGTCTGCAGGATTCCAGTCGGATGCAAGATTTGCAGGATTCCAGTCGGATGCAGGATTCCAGTCGGAGTTCAACGAGCGAACGGATGATATCCCGGAATATAGTGTCATCACATTTTTCCATCCGTGAATCAATACGTGAGAATATATATATATATATATATATATATATATATATATATATATATATATATATATATATATATATATATATATATATATATATATATATATATATATATATATATATATATATATATATATATATATATATATATTTGAAAAAGTTCAAATGGTAGGCAATCAAAAGAGTAGACTTGACAAGAACCAAAAACGATATGAAAGATGCCTAGCGTTTGGTCATATGAAAATCATCGTTGCAATCGTGATAATTACAACTGAATTCCTATTAAAAGAAATGTTTCATTCATTTTTCATTTTTCATTTTTTCCTCCTTTTACTACTACAACAACTGATTAGTGATTAAATGCAATTTTGAATGGATAGCAACTAATTATTTGAAAATTACTAAGAATGTAAAACTTAAAAATCTTAGTTGCTGGATATTTTAGTACCCGTCGAAGGTTTTATAAAAACACTAAAAAAAATTAAATAATAATATTTTATTTCTATTTTCTATTTCTATTTCTATTTTAAATACCAACTAAGCAATAAATCGACGTTTTATTTGCTATATTGGAAATTATTTAACAGTAATAAGGATCGGTAAAATGGATTTTTTCCCAAATTGCAATTCTTATTTTGAGCTTTAAATTTGTTTATTCATATTTTAGGTTATGACAAAGATATTAGGATGCGGTTTTCACTGACTTGTTGAGCCGTTATTTGATATTATCTAATGACATTGTAAAAGTCGTATCGTCGCATTCACTCTTTTTTACAGAATATTATTTTTTTGCAATGGCAATCGCGGCACATATCATCGTCGATGATGGCAAAAGAGAGGTCCGTTTTTAATAACCCCAAGTTTATTAAAATGCGTTTGGCCATAGTAGACGTATGGATATTATTTCTGAAATTCTTTGAACACCCCCCACCCCCCCCCCCAACCTAGCACTTATCATGCTTTAAAATAATAAACACGTTAATTATGGTTACTACTAGACATTCTCATTGAAAGCGAATTTTAAAAAGCTATTTAAGATCTAACATCTAGAATAATTTTCAGCATCCTGTCCATACTGTTACACCCGGTATGTAATACTAACCGAGATCATCCATAAAAATTTTCGAAAATAATCGAATTTTAACCCGTTTCAGACCATGACGTTTATTTATTTACCTTCGACTTTATTGTAACCTTTTGCATCATTTTGTTCCGGGGTAGAATCGGCGCACATGATTTGATTGCTGCACCAGAAATGACACACCGTCATTTTGTTCTGCGTTAATGTGCCCGTCTTGTCGGAACAAATTATAGACGTTGATCCTAACGTTTCAACAGCTTCCAAGTTCTTGACGAGGCAATTTTTGGCCGCCATACGTTTCGCAGTTACCGACAGACACACGGTCACAGTTGCCAGAAGACCTAAAATTATATTTTTCTTATACATAATTTGCGAAAAGTTGACTTTTGAGTTGCCAATTAAATGGCGAAAAGAAAAAGATATTTTTCTTACATTTGGATCAAGTGTAGATAAAATTTTGTAAAAAACTAGACGCGAAATACTATTTTTGTGTAAGACACTTTTCTATAACCTGTCAAATTATCAGATATTTTAGTACTATTTACGAAAAGTTTAAAGATGGCTAAAAAGTGAATTTGTTTTATGAAAATGGTAAAAAATTAGATAATTAGAGTTTTTCTTAATTTAGAGCAGAAATATACAGAAAAGCACAAACAAAAATGTTGTGAGTATGAAGTTGCGAAAAAACATTTTGTTTGACGATACCCGTCACAAATTCACTAGTCGCGCAATATATCTAAAACTTTTGGCTCTCTGAGCAACTTGGAACTTTGCTAATTAAAAGGCTAAAGCTTAATCAATAGAATTTTTTACATTTATATCAAAAGTGGACAAAATTTTCTTTAAAACCATTTACTAAATACCCTTTTGTATAAAAAAAGTTTTTCCCAGTGACAAAATGATCGATGTTTTCTTAGCTTTTACCTATAGGTTTAAAATTGATTTGATAATGAAAATCTCGTTAGAAACTAAAGTATACAGAAAAGTAAAAACAAAAATGTTGTAAGATTTTGCGAAAAACTTTTTTTGTCGCAATCTTTAAAACTTTAAACAAGTCTACCTACAAAAACCTAGGACACTTGAAACTAAGCAAGAATATCCGCGTATTGTACTGTAATAGTATAAAGTTGATTTAAAAGTTTTTTTTTTAATGAAATCGGTTAAAAATTATAAGATTAGGGTGGTTTTAATTTGGATCAAAAGTATACAGAAAAGGACAAACAAAAATTTTGTACGTAGAATGTTACGCTATTCAACAAAAATGCAGCAGTTACGCAATATATCCTGAACGTTTGGCAACTGTCTAATTAAATAGCTTCCTAAGAAAGCTAGAACTAAATATGACCACATACCGCCCGTTTCAATTTAAATATAGACTGTTTCCTTAAAGTTACAACTTTACAAAGAAACAAATTATAGTTTTTGAGATTTTTAAAAAAATATGTATTTTTAAATGATAGTGTAACGCCATAACGTAATCGAACGTAGTGGACAAAAAGTTCAAGTTCGCCATACCAGCAATCAAAATTAAATTCAATTTCTTTCTCCCAAGAGCATAAAAGTGTGTTTTTTACCAGCATATTTAGTTAAGTGTGGTTTTCAATTAAATTTTGGATAATTTGAACTTTGATAAAAACTGACTCAATTTTGATTTTTCAAATACTCAAAAAGTATTATCGTGCTCGTGTTGGTCAAAGAATATTGGAAATGGACCCTCAGTACTGTGCAAAATTTCTTCGCCACAATATCTGTATGTTTTTTTCTTTTTCGAGTCTGTTAAATAAGCGTAAAATTATATCACATTTCTTACAAATGAGTTGGAAAAAATTAAAGCACTTTTCACATTTATTTTTAGCTGTCTGATTAATGAGCAATTACCTTCAGGAACGTTGGCAACAATGATGCCAATCAAGAACAAAGAGGCTTCAATCCAGGAATAATTCATGCCCAATGCGGCGGACCCAAAAATAACGCCCAGGAAGCACGCCCACACGCTGATAATTTTCATAAAATGCTCCAACTCTTGCGCTATGGGCGTTTTATTCGGCTGTAATCGGGCTGTTAACCCCGCTATCCTGCCCATTACGGTTTGATCGCCGGTTGCGACGACAATACCTGTCAAATTGACCAAAATGACAAAGATATTAATATTAATTTTTCAAAGAAACTTCCACAGGCTACTGTAATACTTTTTATCAAACTTCTGGATTCATCCTGCGTCGGTTTTTGCCGAGTCGAACTTGCTAATCATCCTGTTGGCTGAACAGTTTCACTCAAGCTCTGAAAAAGGTCCGCCCCCCTCAAACAATATAAAAGCAGGTACAGAGTAAAATGCGAGCCAGTTTCAGTCAACCTCTGAAGAAGTCAACAGGATGATTGGCGAAACGTTAGCAAGTTCGACTCTGCAAAAACCAACGCAGGAGGAATCCAAAAGTTTTCTAAAAAAAACATTACTTCGTATACAGTAGGTCAAAAAATAAATTTTTTTGAGTTTTCTTTTAGTTTCTTCTTTCAAGTTACATTTAATGAGAAATATATTTCAAGTAAATACAGGTAGTCTCATTAAGAGTAATAAAAATAAAATAAAAATCATTTAAAGCACTTTATTTAACGATTAGAAATAAGGCAGTTTTAGAGGCAGAAACTGTAATAATTAAACATGCAATGTGGATATGTAAGAAGCACAAATAAAAACCCAAAAGTTCCAATTAAAAAAAAAACGCTACGCTTTTTTGGCAAACCTCGTATATAAATTAGTATGTAATATTAAATGTACACAAAAAATTGTAAAATTTTTGTTTCCTAAAATGTAAAATAAAAAATTAAAGCGAAATATTTATAATGGATCACTGTTTAGTCTCTAGTGTATATTCAATGTAAAATGCTTTTTATACACGATTATAAATAGATAATATAAACTAAATTACCAATATTACATTTGACCAATGTTTCCAAAAGACGATGTCACAAATATAATTTTTTTATACCTCACGGTACTAATTCCAATTGATGTCAGTAACAACAACAAAAAATAAAGAATAAAAGATTGTTGGTCCAGGCAATTCGAATTTTAATATACTTCGTTAAACAAAACTGCGCTGGTAAACCCTTATTTATAAAAACGTTGCAATTTCAGCGTGTAAAAAATATACTGACTCACCTTTAGCGGTTCCTTCAACTGCGTTGGTTGAAAAAAACGCGAAATTTTTTGTTTCCAAAGGATTGTCGCTTGAGCAATCGACACCCCTGTTTTGCGGTTCTGATTCCCCTGTCAATGCCGAATTGTCTACCTAAAGCAAAATTACCAACAATTATAACAGAAGATTATGTTCAAATTGATTCTAAAACAATAACTGAAATCTTAAACCAGGCAAATCTAGTGGCCCAGAAGGAATATACTCCGAAATATTAAAATATGGAACTCACAAACTTTTCAGAAATCTGACAATTATTATTAATAAATGCTTGAATGGACATCCCGTTCCCAAGGAATGGAAAGTAGCTCTTATCTCCTCTATTCACATAAAAGGAAATAAACTGGACTGCAATAATTATAGGGGCATTTCGGTTACAATCACAATGAGCAGACTGTACGGCAGAATTTTACGTGATCTCATTGAGGAAGAAGGAGGACGAAGAACAATGTGGTTTCAGAGCAGGAAGATCATGTACTGATAATATGTTTACCCTAAAACAAGTTATAGAAAATGGAAGTGTCAGGAACATGGAAACGCACCTAACATTTGTTGACTTACAAAAAGCATACGACACAGTCCCAGTAATAAAGCTATGGAGGGTCTTAGAGCAATCCAACATTATTCACACCTACATAGCAGCCCTTAAAGAACTATATAGGGAATTAAAATCAAGAATAAGGGTCGGCCAATGCATTACGGAGGAGTTCATGGTGAATAAGAGACTACGTCAGGGATGCTGTGTCTAACCCAACCTTTTTAAAATATAGGTGGCAATGGCACTAAAAAAATTGAAAAGAAAGGTCCAGGGCGTGGGAATAGAAATTGATGGTGGATGCTGGTTTACTCTTCAGTTTGCAGACGACCAAGTCATAGTAGCCAATAATAAAGATGATATGCAATATATGATTCGAAAACTAATAGAGGAGTATGAAGAATGGGGCTTGACAGTCAACATAGCAAAGACAAAGTATGTATGTGTGAGAACTCACTCACTCGGAAATTTGGAATTAGGCAATAGCCAAGAAATCCTTCAATGTCAGGAATATGAACATCTGGGCATCACATTCGACAACACTGGAACAGATGCAAAAGAAATAGAAAAACGAATAGTCAAAGCCAAAAAAGTAATAGGAGCTCTGATTGGTATCCTATGGAACAAATAAATATCCAAGAAACGTAAATTTAATATCTACGAAGCAACGGTAAAAAGCACCCTTCTATATGGATCAGAGACATGGAGAATTTCCGAGAGACATAAGAAAAGGGTTGAGGCTGTCGAGATGGATGCAACTAGAAGATCAATACGCATTTCACGAAGAGAAAGAATAAGAAACGATACCATAAAACAGAGAAGATTGTGAAGATAGTCGGGGTTGGAGTTTAGGTGTCAGACAACGTCGAAGGACGTTCTAAACCGATATGTATATATATATATATATATATATATATATATATATATATATATATATATATATATATATATATATATATATATATATATATATATATATATATATATATATATATATATATATATACATAATGATATTATTAAAATTATATTTATACCACAATGCGATGGCCTACTGGTGAAAAAGGGAATTAAATATTGAGCACCGAAAGTGTAATACAAATCCAATTGACAAATAAATCTCAGACTTTCTAATTCTATTTAAAAGAGACTAAAAATATATTTGTTTTTATTGAAATTTATCGACTGTTTGCATTCATTGCGATGTCATTTTTAGCCAGTTTAAAAAACAAACGTTTTAATAACATGTCTGTTATCGTTTATTCTATTTTAAAATTTTATAATCTGTGTACCCAATTGATTGCCTTATTTCTTCATTCTATAAATACCTATTCACATATAACATTGAAAATATTTTTTCATACAATAAATAAGTCAACATAAAATAAAATAAACATTTAATTTAAAGTTAAATATCAAGAGAAACCAGAAAATGCATTTTGTTGATGGAAGGTCTGGTAAAATTTATCCTGTGTTATACAAGTGTTTTTTTTATTTTAAATACGCTATATTCAGAATATATTGTATTACACAAAAAGTGTGATAGTGGTGTGTGGAGTGACTCAAAAAGTTTACCACATGTCACACATCTATAACTTTTTATGAGCAAAAAAATAAAAACCAGAAATTAAATTTTAAAATGAACACATAAGTGACCAGCATCAGTAAAGTTCTTAAATTTGTAAAAAGTACGTTTCTGTCAGTAAAGAAAGTTAATATGGAGCATCTAAATAAAACCCAGAAAATTGAAATGTTATTTTTTTTGTTGGATATGGAGGCACAATAACAATTCAAGAAGAAGTTCAGGATAAGATATCCATAAATACCCAAACTGAGTAAATTTGAGTAAAAGTTAATAGAAACAGTCAAAGTGAAAGATAGTACCTTCAAACATTGACGTTAGCCGACGAATAGTTTACATTACTACGGGAGTTGAATGAAGATGATCGTGACTGATACAAACGTGCAGATAGTTTCACAAAAAAAAAACTGATATGACTTGAAAATTCCACTTTATATTTTGAGCAGTATACACATCATCGGTCTGTCATACATTTTAACGAAACATAGTTTGTTTTGACGTCCAAATATGGGATCTAAAGGCAGATATATGCAAACGTTTTGAATAATAAAAATTAATACGCATATTTTTAAGAGTTAAGTGTTTTTTCATTATGGATATCGAATGGTTCAGTTTAGCAGTTTCGTCCACTGTTGAGTCAAAGGCGTAAGAGTGCTGCATTGCCATTGCGTGAACCACTTCATAGCCACCATAAATCTATTTTATGAGTAATAACTCTTGCATTGGAAATACTTAGGTTTAAGTAAATGCAAGCATTGCAACAAATTTAGAAGATGGTTGACACTTATCAGCAGGTGGCCAACATTTGAACATAAACAGGACAAGAAGAAACACTCGGAAGGAATTTAATATTTTGTGCAATTTCCATCCGCATCAATTACAGCTTGAAGTCTTTTGCTTATGGTCATAAAAGGAGTTATGAAGTTTTATTAAAGCAACAATACTTCCTATACTTCCTGAATAGCCTTGCCATAGCTCCTACTTGTACACTGGACACCATAACCCTCTACAATATTGAAGTATGTGCAACTCTCTTTTACACTGAAATGACCCACAGTTTTCATCACAAATCACACACAAATCTCCACATTTTATTAATGAAAAAAACGGTTGTTCTGCTTACAATAAAATGTTGAGCGAACAAGAATAAACCATATTCTAACTTGATCACAATTCTGCCTTTTAGGCTTCCTTTTACTTTCTAACATAATGGTGACAACACTGACATTTTTTTTATTTGACAAGAACAGTTTTATAAACATGAAAAAAATGAAGTTGACATGACAACGACATGGTGGCGTATAATACACTGCTCAAAACTTTGAAAAAAAGTGTTTTAAGATTCGTACCAGTTTTTTATGAAACCAGCCGTATAACTTAAACCAAGGGAGATATGTCTCATAGAAGTTCCTTATTCATTAGTATTCATGTAAAAGGAGATAAACAGAACAAATCAATACTTGAATAATGGAACCCTGTGGTACTCCACAATCGATTCCCTACCTGTTATGCACAAATTATGTGCCTCTTTCTTTGTATCCTTCATCTCTTAGGTTAGGATAATTAACTTTCATTTCTCACACTTTATTTTTCATTAATACTTACTTTGCCGGATCTGAAATATATGCTTATAATAATACTAGTTTCAGTAACAAGTGCCCAAAGTGCTATTTAAATATATTAAATTTCTTTTAAACCGAACCAGTGTAGTACCATCGACAAATTATAAAATTTTCAAGAGAAAGATTTAGTAACAATATTTAACATTTTCTAATAATTTGAAATCAGCGTTTAATAAAAAAAATATTATTTTTGAAATATTATTATAAACGAACAACTATTAGCATTATTTATTTGTTGGTGTAAAATTGCTTAAATTATCATGATTTGGTGTTTTAATATCTGGTGTTTGAACTGCCTGCCTGTTGAATTTTGTCAGCTATATTCTCCTTTTTTAAAAATTGAATTGAGGTGGCTTTTACTTGATCAAAATCCATTTATCACAATAAATAAGAACTAAAAGTTCAGATTTTCACGAAATTATATATTTTGACATGACAATTGTTTCGACGATTGTTTATCAAATGTAATATTTACAAACTACCCCGAAAAATGACCATAAAACCTTAATTAATATTGTTGTGAGGATTTTAGTTTAATAAAGGAGAGGTATTTAAATTTCATTGATCGTTAAGCAATACATTTGAATGTCTCATTTTGTTAACCTCCATGGCTTCCAATAAATTTAATTCTCCACTTTTTGTGGTTGTATACATATATATGGATGGCATATGCAATGCATTTGAAATGGGAAAAAGCAGCACAGCATTGTCGAAAATCGTATAGCAGTGGGTTCAGTCCAAAAGAATAAAATATTTTGAATTTGTTTGTAAAATAGGTAGTTAAAACTGAATAGTATAAGTGTTAAGAAGAGGTATATTGCATAGGTTTAATGAGCTGTTAATGGCAAAATGACTTATAATATCCCCAAATGTAAAATGTTTCTTTTATTTTATGTTTGATTTCTGACCATTGACACGTGGTTTTTAATATCATTTGCTACTTAATGAATGATAAAAAGTTGCGTTTAAATGCAGCTACGAGTGGCTCTTCAAAACTGAGTAGTCTTAGTGAGAAAATAATTTCTAACATCAAAAAATAAGCGGAACAGAGCAACGATCAATTTAAAAATCCTACTCCAACAAAAAAACCGTCAAGAAATTGTAATATCACCAGCTATGCTAAGGCTAGCAACGATGCTCAGTTGACTATAGATTTCCTTATTGCTGTATCGTAACGCATAAATCACTGATGATTTAGTGGTATTTTGTTGAACAGCACTGTTCGAAAGAAAATCGAAAAAAGGTTTTCTCTCGATATATTTAGAAGCAAGTATACATCGTTAAAACAAATTTTAACGTCCGTCTCAGGAAAGAGGTTTGTTTCCATATGTGTGTATGTGTTTACCGATTTATTTTAATGGACAATTAAATCGTTTAAAATTGAATTAGCACGCAAAAACAGGACGTAAAAGAAATTCATAAAGATTTTGAATATATGCAATTTTGTAATTGTATATGCATCTATTCGTCTGCTGGATGAAAGCAAGCAAGCAATGCAATGCAACTTTCAGCTTATGCGAGAGTCTATTGTGATTAATTTTCAAAATGCTACGGATTGCCCTTTTGGGTGTATCACGGTTATATTCTTGAATCCTAGAAGTTACATTTGATATGTAATAATTCCCAATATTTTAATGATATTATCTACTCTTATACAGGCTCTGTAGAAATTTTAATCTGGTCTGGTTCTGTTGTTTATTATAAGGCCCTTGAATTAAGACATTATGACAGACTCAGCCTCACCTTAAATCCTTGGCACTGTATAATTCTTACGTCAGCCGGGATTCGATCTCCAAACTTTAGGTCTACGAGATCTCCTACTACGAGATCCTTCGAAACTATCGTCATAGTCTCTCCTCCCCTTATAACAGTGGCTTTTGGTGGTACCATATTGGCAAACGATTCCATAATCTACAATGTGAAAACATTATTATGGAAACTATAGTATTGTAAGTCAAAAATACAATGCATATAAATTTATTACAGCGTATTTTTATGTTATCTGTTTTATATTTATACATTAAGAACAATAAGACCTGCTTATATGTTATATTTTACCTTTTCAAATTGTTTAGACTTTGTCCAAATAGGAAAATTGTCTGTGTTAGTCGATATACCACTTTTTTCATAGGATTCTTCATTCATGGGAACTTTAAAAGCTGTGTACTTAGATGGATAAAGTCAAAATTAATGAGGTAGAATAACAAATATTTTAGAAAAACAAAATCTCCTGATTTTAATATTTTCTTCCTTGCATATTTATCTCCAATTTTATTGATATTGATTATAAGTTGTTGGAGCGTTTTTCCATTGTAAAAAAACCAAACGGCTATTAATTGGTCAAGAAAATAACGGCGAAACTTGGCAGAAAAATGAAACAATCGAGCACTAAAGAAATAGCACCTTCTATTTACTGTCAACAGTATTGATAAATCTTATAAGTTATGTCTGCAATTAAGGTATAAACGCAAAAGGTTTTAAATTTGTTTAATGTCTAAAATTGGAATAATTTTTTTCAAGAACGTTTTGACATTTGCTCATGTGCTGAAAAATATTCACAAAAAAACACTTAAAATACTATTTCCAATGACCAACACAAAATTTTTAGAAATGGGAACGTAATAAAAAATATGCACATTACAAAAAATATATATTTTTATAAAAAACTTCATTTTTATATATTTTTCTCGAAATAACAAACTGTTTTTTAATTTGTCTTATTTAACATTACCAATAGTATTATCTCAAATATGTACTTTTTTAACCTCTATTTTTGGTTAGTTTTGGCTAGCCGTAAGATCATTTTTTTTTACTAAAATCACCACAGTAATAAAAAATAAAAGCTACAAACATTAATTTTTCAAGCCAACAGCAAGTCAAAAGAATCTTTTCAAAATAGTAACTTTTTTCTAAAAGGAAATCAACCCCAATACATCTGCAAACGTCACTTTGACATAAAATTTAAAATATGTCCGAAACTGTAAGTCTAATTAACAGATTATTATATATCAAGTTTTGAGGAATTCAAAAATGCCTTAATATACAGGATATTGTTAGTAGTCCAAGAAAATACAGGGTGTTTCAAACCAAAATTTAAAATAGTAGCTATATAAACATTAGGTCAAAAACAACCATTAGGGAGATACTACTCTAAAAACATGGCACATAAATATAGTTTTCATTTTTTCGTGGCTTTTTGTCTTTGGAAAGCCCTTTGTTCTTCTGGAAATCTTCTGCGGACCACTATGGAACCAAAAAAAAAGTAGTTTTATTGTGCATACTTATTGCGTAAACTTTGTTAAAATATCAAAACTTGTACAAGTAATATCGACTTCCATTGATATTTTTTCAAATTCGATCACACTCCGGACACGGTTTACAATACTGTTTAAGGTTTTTAGATTTTTTGCCAATAACCGATACACCCTGTACATACCACATTTCGTGATACGTTTTTTTTGAAACGGTGCAAAACGTCGTTATATTAAATGTTCTATTAGCGTGTTTTACATTTTTGTCCATTATTGGAAAACACATGGAATAAAATTGATAGTCCCGGATCTCGTTCCGATCGGGTGAATAGTCTTCCAAAAAATATTTTCTTTCTGTCAATGTTAAAATAACCCATATTTTTTTTATTATTACTTTGAGTTATATCGAGTCTAACTGCACTTTAGATGTGAGTATAGACTTCTACCTCCCAGGCAAATCTGAAATCAATAGCTGGTAATTTGAGGCACCTATCATGTTTTTCATTATAGCCGGAAATATTTCGAACACTCTGTACAAAATATGAAAACTCTAAATAAAAAAATTTTAGTTGTCCATACGGGCTATGTGACTTTGTGGATGAAACGAACAACTGAAACATAGCTATGGCTAATTTTCATTAAAATAAAAATTAATTTTTTTAACTTTTCGTGAATTACCGACGCACTTCAGTTTATGGCCTGGATCTCTCTTCGTATTCAATAATTTTTTCGTTTTCGAGAAATGATTTCTTTCTCGCCCCCTTGCACAAGTTCTCCCTCAAATTTAGTTAAGAACAATGATAGGAGTAGTCGAATTCAATCCAATTCACTCATTTAAAAAAATAATATCATAAAATGCAGAAAGTGTGTTTTTATAATAGTGAAATTTAATTGTTCTATCAATTTTCGTTTTCAAGATAAAAAATACAAATTTCATTTATCCGCCACATTTGTAGTGCGACATCTCCCTAATGATTGATTTATGATCCAACGTTGATATAAGAAACTACAATTTATTTTAGACAAGGTTAAGCTTTTATATTTAAATCAGTATTTTAAGGGTATAAGTGAATCCAAACAACTTATTAATTAAAAGTTGTCCATTGAAAAACCGGCCACTATGCAAGGTTAGTCAAAAAGCGCGCAATGGCTGTATATCTCAGGAATTACAAGATTTGAATTGTAAAAGTGTTTTAGTCCATTTTTGGGTTGCTCTTAAAATTTTAAATTTTCTTAGTGTAACGTACCCTTTACACAAATATAATTGTTTTTTTCAGAAATGACACAAAACGAACACAATGATTTCATCAATAAACCAGAATTTATTTTTTTTTTAATTTTAACGAATTGGTAAACTTAAATAATAATAGAAAATATTTAAAATCAAAGGTATCAAAGGTACTTATTTTAATAACTGTTCAAGAAATAAGTATAAGCCATTCAGGAATTATTTGTTTGAAGATCGGAGGATGGAATTTTGTGGTCGTGTAATTATAAATTTACGAAGACGACTTTTCGTTTGAATGACTTCGAAAAGCCCCATTATTTTCAAAAGCTAAAGGTATGGGTTCGAATAACTAGTGGAAATTTTATAGGTCCTTTCTTAATCAATGGCATTCTCAAAGGTGAAAACTATTATACCCTTTTAAGGAAGCAGGTTATCCCCGATTAGCTTGCTATATCCGGACACCCGAAATGGAGAAACAGGCACGATTGATTACAGCATTTGTCACTTATGCGCTAACGGGCTATTTCGACGGAGAATATTTTTTTGTAGCCGGAAAAAAGCATGGAGTATTTATACGTCATGACAACATAAAAAAATACAAAAATTTACCATATCTAATTAAGTCTACCGCACTATAACTAAGCTTCTTTTTTACCTTGTGACTTTTATGTTCTTGAAAGTACATAAAACATCCCGTTACGACGACAACCACCACAAGCACGCATCCTAATATAAGATTGTCGGTGTCCGTTTCGTTGGTTGTAAATTTTCTTATAAGGCACGCTGTGAAACATAACGCTGCCCCGATCCAAAGCAGCAGAGAAAATCCTGAAAGGAATCAATACCAAACTATCACCAAAAACTGTTATTCAAACTAAATATGTACTTTGTACTGACTTGCAAGAGACGTCACTTAAGTAAATATTTTTCTGGACTGCCTTTTACTTGATCAAAATCCATTTGACATAATTAAATTAGATCAAAAAATTGTTCAGGTTGTTGCAGAGTAATAGATTTAAATTTAAGAACGGGGCCGCATTCATATTCAATTGATCATTAAGTCATAGATTCGAATAGATAGTAATAGTCTCTCATTTATTTTTTTTGCTTTTTGTTATATTATTATATATAATTCTTTTTACAAAATTTCTGTTGGAAGTGGTATGGTCTGTTCATAGATATAAGAAAGAGAAAAATTGCTTTTGAATGGGATTATCCGAGGGCGGTCATTAACATACAATGCAACAAGATTATTGTCTAAAGTTTCGGAGATGCTCCCGCCCAAATGTAGAAAACTATTGAGACTGAGGAAGTTATAAACAATGTTTATTTGACTCTAATTGAACGTGGTGCCAGCAAGCAAGCATCTTCAGAAGAAACGGTCACATTGACGAAAATTCCAACATCAGCGAGGAAAAAAAGAAGCGATGCTGACACAGTGTAGATGAAAGTGATCAAGATATAATACGGCGTAAAATTTACCAGTTATACGAGGAACAAAGCATGCCTACTTTAGATATCTTAATTAGGAGGCTTGAAAAAGATGAAACCGGTGTCAAATGTGGCAGAACTACTTTATGGAAGTGTGTTCAACACATGGGATTTAGATTAAAAAAAAAAATGAAAAAAGTTTTAATGGAATCTTTTAGAATTCGGAAATGGCGACTGGAATATCTAGCAAAAATTAGGATTTACAGAGAACAACAAAGGCTAATTATTTACTTGGATCAAACTTGATTCGACACTTATGACACCCCGGAAAAGGGTTGGGTTGACTCAACTGATAAGTGTAAAACAAACACGCCATCAAAAAGAAGTAAAAGAATAACTATTTTGTATGATGGCTCTAAAGATGGTTGGATTCCAAATGTACTTTCTCTGTTTGCGAAAAATATTAAAGATTCATCTCTGGATTACCATGAAGACACCACCGCTGATTTATTTAAAAGTTGGTTTAAAAACAAACTAGTTCCAAACATTCCTCCTAATAGCGTAATTGTAATGGACAATGCAAGTTATCACAGTAGACAGTTGACTAAAACCCCTCTCTCATGCAACAGCAACAATCCAAAATAATCCAAAACTACATGTATAATAACGACATTTATTTTCACGAAGATTATATCAAAATGCAATTAATTGAGGTTCTACAAAGCTTGAACCAACAAAAGGAATACGTCTGTGATAATTATGCAAAAAATCTGGGGCAACAGTTTCACCACTGTATATTTAATCCCATTGAACATGTTTGGCACCAACTGAAATCTGCCATTGGTCGTAACAATTTTTTTCCCCGTGTTAACTCCAATGTCCTCAAACTTATAGAAACCGAAAGTTTTTAACATCCCTCCACAAAGTTGGGCAAATTCTGTTAAACATATAGAAAAAGCAGAACAATCGTATATTCATATTTCAAATAATTTAGAATAAATAATGATTAGAACAGGCGATGATAGCGATAGTGATACTGATATATTATGTGAATAATTTTAATTAATTAAAGTAGGTAATAAATATAATTTGTAATTTTATTTTAGATTTAAACATAAATACATACATAAATAAATAAATATTGTTTAGCATCTTTCCTAACAAAACCCCAAATAATTAAATTCTAAGCAAAGTACGGACCTGTTCGGCCATATTTCATTCTTACAGCTTGCCCGGGTCTTTCCTTAATTCGTATCAGTTAGTCACATTCGTATATCTATGAACAGACTTTATATTATATGGTCTGTAGATACAAGATTTTATGTGTGAGGGTGATTTAAGCTATTATGTATTGCTGTATCCGAGTGTGAGGGTCTAATTTGTTCTGAAATTTAGTTATAGTTAAGTTCAGAAAGTTTAAAGAGTTTTCTAGTTCCGTCTCTATAGCAAATTTGATACGATTACATATTGAGTTAATATGATTCCCATAGACAAGCAAAAATATTATCCAAGTATCTATATCACCAAAGAAAACTTTTACTCAGAAGATGTTCATGAAAAAAATGTATATGTAACTTTTTTTTTTACTTCCGATTCAACAGGTTTTGTTCTTGTTGTTGTTGTTTGGAGGAATGTTTGTGTGTCTAAATAAAAAAAACACTAAAGATTTTTTTTTTACATCAATATCGACAATATTTTAAAAATTAAAGAAAAAACTATGGGATTGATGTTGCTATTCCGAAATACACTTTGAATTAGAACCCGAAAAAAAAAAACGATGATCGCCCCCCATTTCAACGACGGACGGGTTTTCACGGCAGCCCCCCACGAGATGGCAGGGGGATGGGGAGGGGAGCGGTGGGAGGGGGGGGCGGGCACTCTACCAGCGGGGGCTACGCCCCCCCGCGGGGACTCTACCAGCGGAGGATACGCCCCTCCCGGGGGCCCCCGCGGGCGAACTACGCACCACGGACAACGGTTTGGTTGGCACCACTGACAACGATTTGGTTAGATTGGCACCACGGACGACGGTTTGGTTAGGTTAGGGCCAATGGACGAGCGACCTAGGGGCGAGCGGCTAATGGACGAACGGCCAGAACGCAAAAAGAAGAAGAGTGTCTATGGGCGAGTGGCCAATAGGAAGAAGACCCATGACCGAGCGGCCCGTGGGCGGGGGCCCGTGGCCGGGAGGCCCCAAAGTGAGGTTATGTGGGCCTGGATGTCCCTTTATTCATCTACTGATATTTTCTAAATATTTCCAAATAGTCCGTTGTGTTTCAGACTTGAAAGAGTTCTAATTATGACATACGGTTATATTTATTAGTTCGCAATCAGAAAAATTTAAATCCGAAAATCCGGCACTGATTAGGAACCATTTTCTCATCTCATTGAGTCTGGTCTGCGACTTCTGAGACATTGTATACAAGACATACTCCAGCACAGGATAAACAAAAAAAAATCCGATTTACAAGCGTCTGTCAGTAGTCGACGATGGAATAGAGGATGATAACAAATTAAAAAGTACTGCAAGAGAATCGTTTTACGAGTGCATGGAATTAAAATTAATCTAGTACTTACATTTATATGTTTATTTAAAAAAAATGAAAAACATCATTCGACGTTTACTATGACATCCTTGAAGCTTTCACATAGCAAATAAAAGAATCCGCTAATGAATTATACTTTCAATGCAACATTTGTCTACAGATCTTCTGAAAACGTCAGACGGCATGGAAGCTGCCATTGGGATGATAGTGGAGTTAACTGGCATGCCAAGATTAATCACATTCCTTCACTTGAAACATTGCCGCAGAAATTAAAACAAAATCAGATCTAGATTTAAAGCAAGCGTAGTAGACCCAAGAATTGGAGGAACGGCGACAGAAGTACTTAACTGATATTCATCAATTTCAAATAGAAAAACAAAGAGGTTGATTCGACGCCCATGACAATATAACGAAAAGGTGACTAAATTCTTTATCGAAATGGAAAAGCTTGGATACCAAACGCTTTGGTACTTTCAACACAAAACTTTAAAGACTGAATTAGACTACCATCAGGAAATGACAAGGGATAATTGGGTAAAAAATTGTCTTCCTCGAAATATTAGACAGTGCAATATCTGGACGTGACTCTGGACTCTGGAAGCATTTCTGTTCTGCAAATGTTATCTGTCTCAGGCGGGAATCTAGATCACCTCTCTATGATGAGACATTGAGACTACCTTATGCTTTTATACACCATACGGAACGAATATCTCTTTAAAGGATAACTGCCTTTGTATGGGAGATATTTTTATGCCTCACGAGCTAGTCAGAGACCGGGACAGAAGGTGGTATATATGGCAGTTCTTCCAGGGCGCAGATATCTCTGTCTCTGGGAACTTTCATGGAGAGATCATCACACACAGCACATGTATGTAGCGACAGTCGAGCGGCTATCCAAGCTCTTACCTTTGTGAAGATTGCTATTCGACTGCCAAGAAAAATGGAAGACACTTCCTAAATGTGGGTATTGAAAGCGCTATGGCTGACGGACTGACCTGGGATGCCGCAAAAGGCCAGGAATTCCAAAGGAAGTAGCTAAAGAGCGAGCTGGATCAATGGCTCTTTGCATTTAAGTCGAAGTTTCGAATGTCTAACAGAACAGCAATATCTAAGAAGACACCTTCATATTATGAAGATGGACGATCTGGGCTGTGTTTAGAAGAAGGAAGGAAGGTATTTTCTCGAAAATGCAAGAAGTTATATTGGATAAGAAGATCTGAAGGCAGGAGGGACGCACTACAGATAGAATAGGATAGATAGGCTAGAATCTAACCTTGTATCTAATCAAACTAACTAAAACTCCTATAGTGTTGAGGGTTGTTAAGATACCTATCAAGTCAAGTTTCGGTTAGATTTGGTTAGAAAATGCAAAATTCCTCCATTAAAACTTTCAGTTAAGACTAAAAAAATTGAAAGAAATTGAAAATCACAGGAAAGCATCTTCTGCAATATATTTTCCCAAAAAATTTAAACTTCACATTCAAATTGACAAATATTAATAATTAAGTTGCAAGTGAATATATTTTTGGGATGAACTATAGGACGTTGCATTTAAAAATTTATTTATGTATATTTTTTTATATACAAGGTGAGCCGAAAAGATTATTCAACACTTTAATCATAGATTGTTTCTGAGACTTTTGCTGTGCTATTTTTTATTTTCACCCCCGGTTTCTAAACTATCATTCAACTTTGTTTTAAAAATGATATTTTTGTTTATATATCTCCCAGTATTTCACATGTTTTATCAAAATTGTGTATATGGAATTGTCCAATAAGATTATAATTTTGTAAATGAATAACACGGGATATAAAAAAGTTTTTATATGAAATTTTGATACTTTTTTCTTA